ATATACATAAGTGCATATACAGCGAGAGAGAGCGAGGGAGGGAGGGAGGAAGAGAAAAGAGAGAGAGAGAGAGAGAGAGAGAGAGAGAGAGAGAGACAGAGGCGAAGGGAAAGCAAAGCATGCACATGCTGTATGCAAACACGGCGTTGATGGCACTGAACTGAGGCCAACTCTCACCCCGTGGTTTTTCACGGAATTTGATAGACATGGCTGGCAGGGTGCAGTCGCTTCGCTACAGCAAGGGTCGAGAAGGCGGCTGCATTGCTTCGGTTTGCTTCCTTTGTTCGAGTTTGGGACGCTCGTCTCTGGCTCTTTTACGTCTTTGATATCTTTGGCCCTTTTGTCACGTCAACCTGTTTCGACATTGTCAAACTCTCTCCTGGGGGTCAGCTGCATTTCGGCCCAGCCCAACAACTTCCATCTGCGAGAGCCGCACGGTTTGGACCAAGACGGCGTGACAGTCGGCTTCAGAATTCGAGAAGCCTGAGGGAACGAAAACTTCTGCACCCAAGGCGGTGCCCGTGCAGACCCACTTTTCCGCAGGTTCAAGCTAGGTCCAAGACGCATGTTCAAACAAAACCTAGTAGCTTTGCAGTGTCTTCTTCAGAAGGGATCCTCAGAAGGTTGCACTAGGTCGCGTACAGTAGCACAGCGCATATGTGGGACATGTTCCAGTTGATCAGCGGGTGATCGGGGTGATCGTCTGATGGCTCACGAAGAGTCAAGCTGTGCAAGAGCTGACAGTACAACACATGCCTCCAAGTTCGCGGCGTTCAAAGTCAGGGTCCCTTCAATACGAGCTTCCCGGGTTGCGAGCTACTGCAGAATGCGCTTGAAGATCCATGATGTCTAAGCTGTCGCAACCCAGAATGTGCAGGCAGCCGCAATTCTCCTTGCAGCTGCCTTGAAGCCGGCTGCTCCGAGAGTGCACCATCAGTAACAGCCCATCGGTGGTTTCAACTTCGGATTGTAGACTTCTTTGATAAACTTTGTCCAACTACTCCCTGTCTCGGAGCTGAGAGCTCTCAGCTGGGCTGCCACACCTCGCCGGGTATGCCCAGGGCTTAAATGCTGTCACAGAAGCCCTCCCCCACCCAGAACTTTGGTTCCGCTCTAAACTTTGATTCCCAATTCCAATTCCCTGAAACATGGGTCTTCCTCAACGCAGTACCTTCTCAATGCCGGGCCCATTAGCAAACCATGATCCTCAAGCACGGACTTCCGACAAAGTCACAGTTGAAAGCTTCACCAAACCTCGCTAGATCAGGAGAAGACGGAATGATGCAGCTTGCAGCCCACAGCCGTCGTTCTCTGAAGCCCATGGCCGCGGCCTCAGTAGGTGGCAATGGGCAGCTCCCCGCCGAAAACGCCGCTGCTCTTCGTGGCTTCGGTCCCGAGGTTCTTCGCCAGCTGCCCTGCGCACAACAGCTTGGAGCTGTTTGGTCAAGGCTTGGGATAGCCGAAGGCTTCCTCGGGCTGCCAGAGCCCGTCTGATGCATGCAGCAGGCCTGTGCCATGCTGTGCAAGCAGGCCATCATAGTCTGCATAAAAGCCTCCGCCGCCATGCTCAATAAGAATGCGAGTGACTGTGCAAAACTGCATAAGTAAACCAACACCGCACTTCTTCTGATAAAGGCAAGAAGCTTCCGTTCACATAAAGGTGTGGCGTTCTTCGTTTCTGCGTCTTTGCCACGGTGTAGCCGAGGATTGCCGGATGCGTCAGAACCTGCTACTTCAGAGAACAGTAGGCAAAGGTCTCCTTGCAGACCGAATTGGGAGCAGGTGAGCTGCTGACATTCACGGAGGTCATGGGCACCACCTGAGCTTCCGTCAGCATCTTCACGGCCTGAGCAAGCAAGCAAGCACAGGGGATCCCGTTGTACCTCTTCCAGCTACTTGGTAGCGACTCTACGCGGGATATGCACAGGATGTACTGTAATTACGGAGCTTCTTGCCGCTTCTTCCTTTCCATGGCGCTCGGGCATGTTTCACTGTTACTGAGACATCCTTATCATGCCTGCTGCGTGGATCGATCGTCTATGAGCAGCTTCTTCCGAGCAAACAGGCAAAATGCGCCACAAGCGCAGGACGAGAGCCACTTTACACGGCAAACTTCATGGATTGGGGCCCTGGCGTTGAGGCTTGGCTCTGACTTCGGCGCATCCGGAGTGCCCTCCATGAACAGCACCACCTCCCGAGGTTCTGCGATTCTGGGGCTCAGGGATCTGCAGTGATGACACCTGCATTCTGAGCCGCAGGCCTTGCTGTTGGAAATTTCCGCATCCAGGTCTGCGGCGACCTCGTCCAATTTCCCGCGCTTGCGGAGAGATGATGGCGCGTCGAGATATGCTGCAGAAGCCACTGCAAGGTCCTGGCTACCTTCTGATTGGCCTGGTACTCCTGCCAAGGACATGCAAACTGCTGGCTCCAACGTGCCACAGCAACATTCCTATCACCGTATCACCGCCGGCTGGCGCGATGATCCGAAAGGTCAGAATTTGGGAGACTGATTTTTGGCACCCCTGCATTAAAAGCAGGAGCACGACATGTGACATGTGCGAAGATCCAAGAAGGTCCTTGAGCGACTTGTCCACCAACTCATCGTAAAGCTTCGCCTGCCAGATTCAACTGTATAGGGTTTCACATATCTTGCCAGCTTCGGCGCAACCACCACTGTCCATCCAGTGAACATGCTGAATGCAAATCCGTACTACCTGTTCTCACATGCCGTCGATATCTGAATCTGCCCAGCTTCCAGAATCCTAGCCTCTAAATAAAACAGAACAACGAGAAGAGATGGAGCCACAACTAGTGCCAGCCATAATTGTCATATCCCCCCCTTCCCTCCCTACCGTGGTGTCCAACGGCGACGCAGCAAAGCTGCGCGCCGCGGGGCGCAAGGGAATCGGGCGCACTCGCACGGCCGCTGCGAGAGCGCAGCGCCTGCGGTTCACCGTTACAGTGTTGCAGAGCTTGAACACCGAAGGCCAAGGATTTGTCTTGAAGATTTCGTGCAGGCAAATGCAAGTGGTGGCGATGATGGCTGCGCTTGACAGCAGTGGTAGATGCGGTGGTGGGGGTGGTGGTGGGTCGCAGCGGTAAGTAGTAGTAGCAGTAGTAGTAATAGTAGTCGTCGTCGTCGTCGTCGTAGCAGCAGCAGCAGCAGCAGCAGCAGCAGCAGAGAAGAAGTAGTAGTAGTAGTAGTAGCAGCAGCAGATGTACACGGTAGAGGAAGGGGTAGTGGTAGTGGCAATGTGCTCTACTCCACAGCGGGAGCGCCCTCAGTAACCGAATCGCCTTAACAGTTTCAATCGTAAGAACCCTATAGTATTACCACGCGACCCTGTTTAGGGAATTATGCCAGCGTAGAGACCCCAAAATTTGAATTCGAGATCGTTTCCACCCAAGAACCCTCATTTACGCACCACTACGACACGAGCGAGATTTCGCGACGCCAAAGTATTAGATATTCTTGGAGTTTGCAACGCTAGAGGCTGGGCCTCAAAGCGAACCTGGCATGCATGGTGTCTCAGCAGGGCCGTGCAGGGGCGGACAAGGGCACAACAAGTGTTCGAGCCGTATCTGCGCAAATCGACAGCTCCGTTCGGATCTACCACTTTAAGAGCACACATCGCTAGACCATTAACTCAATCATAATCACGAGGCAGACCATCCTGCCGCAAGGCTCTGGCGCCTTTTTCTCTCAATGCCGAATTCCTGCTGCGAGTCGCAGGTCACATCCGTGTCTACATTTTGCAAATAGGTATGCCTCCGGTGTGCAGAAATTATCGTTTGTGGCCGCATCTTCTGGCAGGTCCACACAGCACGTCCTCACTTGGTGCCAATGCCTCAGATAAATCCTGAATCCTTCTCTACACTCCACATCTCACCCCTCGCCGTGGGTTCCATTGAGGCACTCTTTACTAAATTCAACCACCCGCCAAACCGACTTTGTCTGTATGCCTTGCGAGCTTTCTTTCTTGCGACATGCAACTTCAGTCGCTACTAGCAGCATTCCTACTAACCGCCTCATACAACAGGCTAGCTAGCCTGCTTGTTCTACCAAGGCAAGAGCTGCCCTTAAACCAAAAACCACACAGACTTTTTAATGCAGCCGGCCGGCACTCGTCCACTAACAGCACCCCAGGTTCATGCCTTTGCAGCTGCACTGACGTCAAGAATGGGGGCATCAAGGCTGGAACGAACTATGGAACAAAGGTGCAAGTGCAGTCGCGGCGCCAAGCTGAAACGTTGCAAGCTCAGACTAAGGACCCTCTCGCCAAGTCTCTCGAAAGCCAAGGCACCCCCGGCTGTTGGACAGCAGAGCCCCTTCAGACCCAAGTTGGCACATCCTTCGTCTTTAATTTGTTCTGAGATCGCACGATGTTTCCACATGAAATCTTGAGAGGAGTACATACTATGACAAACTCGAAGCTGCAAGAAACGCGGTTGAGTCATATCACGGAACCGCGTGTCAGCAGAGAAGCTGCATCGTGCGCCATGAGGTATGAAGTCTCACGTAGCATTTGTTCCAGGCCAGGGAGATAGGCACAGTGTGTGTGTGTGTCCCATGGGCAGGTCAGAGCATGATTCTATGACACCAAACCTTGGGACGGTATGCAACATGTGAGGCCAATTCAAATACGCACATGCTACCCGGCCCTTCCCGAAATAGGCGCTAACTATGCAACACTTGCATCCCCCCGCAAGGCTCACACCGAAGGTATGGCTCTGCTGAACATGCGTCATAGCATATTTAGTCTGTTCACATTCTGCAAAGGGAGATATTTCGGACATGAGCTCTATGGTCTCAAGTAGATGGGCAAGCAAAAAATCGCAACTTACTCGAGATCAAGTCCTTTGTGAAGCTCACACTCGCCACCGCTGCCACCGCTGTCGCCGCTGCCGCCGTTGCCGCCGTCAGAGTCGGACCTGCTGCTTCTGTCGTGTCGCTAGGTGCTCACCCGCTCATGCATGTCTGTGCAAAGACGCATGCAATTTCATGTAACGTCATTCAACATGTATATGTATGTATATGCTATATTATATGCATAGAACAGGTATACATGTGCGCAGACGCGCTGCATGTGCCGTGTGGGTGTACATGCGAGTGTGAGGGAGGACGGCACAGCGCGCCACAGCAAGAGAGAGAGAGAGAGAGAGAGAGAGAGAGAGAGCAAATCATGCCACAGCCGTCTTCCTGTATTCCTGAACCAGATCTGCAGCCAAAACTGCAGAATCTGCGAGACGCGTCCGTCTTTCGCAGGTGCCGCAGACAGGAATAGCAAGCCGATTCGACAGCTGAAGCTTCCCTGTCGCCCTCCAAGAGTGAACACTCCGAAAGAGAGACTTGGACCCTCGTTACCCACTTCGCTGCTCGTTACCCACTTCGCTGTTGATTTTTCGCTGGGCGGCTTCGGCGGCGACGGTGCTGGCGCATCATGGTGTCCTCGGAGAAACCGAGTCTGGGCTGCCGAAAACAGCTCGCTCAGTTTCAAAGAGGCTGAAGCCTCGCAACCTGCATCCCATCGCTGACATCTCAACTCGAGGTCTTATTCCGAAGTAGGAAGAAGGCTTGAGCCTGAAGATTCGGATGTCCCGGTTTCGTCTTGCCGGGCGTCGCGCTGGCGGTGGCGGTGGTGGCACGAAAGGCTTCGTGGTGAATGAGGCGACGACGTCGGGCCATGTGCCTGTCCTGGGTACTTGCTGCCTTTGACAATCAGCTCAAGTTTCCGAAGAAATCACTCCACCGGCAGAGAAGAGGCATCAAGAGGTGCGAGCAAGGCTCGTTGTCTCCGGCGCAGCTGTCGTGGTGGTGGTCTTGTAGCACTTGCCCTTGAAGGCCACATAGCCATCGTTGCACAAGCAGCGTCCCTTCACGCACCTGAGGCACCAGAACTCGGTCCGCTGGAAGTCTGCGGTCTCTTCCTCTTTCTGCCACGGTGCGACACTTCTCCTCGGCTCTTGCTGCAGCCAAACCAGCTGCAGGTGCCGCCTCCCCGAGACCGAGCCGAGGCCGAAGGAATTTGTGCGACTTCCGGTCTCTTCGCTTTGAGGCGGCTTCTAAGGCTTCCGCCTTCACAAACTTCAAAGAGTTCCGTTCACCCTGCAAAGTTCTCTGATCGACCATCGTACGGCCATTTCGCCATGTCGACGGCGAGGCTAGGGGGCTAGGCATGGGCAGATTTCTGTGTTCTCCTGTCTCTCAGGTATACCCGAAACCCTGCACCGTCAGACCCGGAACTACCTACGGTGTCCCTTCTTGAGAAGAGAAACACAGTTCGGCCGGTAGGTACAGTTTCAGTGCACATAGCTTTTTGGGAATTCCGTGCTGCATGGAGCAGCACAATGAGTCTACATTGTAGAAGCGACCTAATGTCTGACATCCGAACCGGCTGTTCCAGCCGATGATTCCAGACCCTCTGCTCGAAATGATGTTGAGAAATTTGAGAATAGCGACGGGGCCGTAGTTGGATGTGAAACAGGCGTACGCTACCTGCCTTACGGCCAGGAGTTGCCGCCCCGCCTGTGTCCTGGCTGACCTGGGAAGCCGATTCCTCCACACAGGTCTTCCTTTCTTCGCCTGCAGAGAGCCGAATCTTGTCGAAAGCCGGCGCAGCTCAGCCGCTCAGGACCCGGCTCCACTGGGCCTTGTCCTCGGCTGCAGAAGCGCTCTCGCACACAGGACGTCCCTACCAGTCCCGTCGCCGACTCCGGGCCCCACCATGCACAGAGCTCTACTGCTTTCTGCAGGAACAACAGCCTGAAACAAATGAGTTCGTCCACAACCCCCTTTGTGCGCATGAGGCATGACGAACAAGATACTCTGCGGCTGCATACCAAGGCTCTTTGCAAATGCACCGAAAGTGATGACAGGTCACATCGCCCAATTTAGCAGTATCGCAGTTGCTCCACATACAGGAGACCCCTGCGACAGAGCTGAAGACGCAAACTCATCCCATCCATCTTCCGCGCTCTCACTGAATAACTTGACCTGTTGCATTTGCTATCAGGCATTTGTAACATCACCACAGCGCTGCACAGCCTGTTTCTCGCCCCGGCTGGTAATCTGCTACCTCCTCACCTCAGCTTCGATGCAAAGCGGGACCAGCATCAACGATCAATTCGACAGGAACTTGTGTCCCGCTCGGCATAGACCACGCCAACGGAGAACACCGGCAACAACTTAACTAGCTAGCCTCAAGTGGCTTCACACAGTGACGAACCTGAGATTTGAATGATTACACGATGCACTGCTGCAAAGTACAGCCCCGGACTTTGCAACACTCAGTAGTAGGAAGTTTGTTCGCACAAACCCACAACAGTTTCACGCCAAGCACTGCATTTCAGGGCCGTCACTGGTGGCATTTCCTCGTACGTGGAGCAGGCCCAGTGCACAAGAAGGGTCGGAGCATGTGTCGTCCTCTGAAACAACGGTTTCGCACCTGCACGCTCCTTGAGACTCATCAACTTTCCAGGCCCCGTCCTGGTCCAGTGCCTCGTGGATCCCGTCTGTTGCGATCCCATCTGCTGCTGCCAGCAGCGGCAGCAAAAGCAGGGCTTTCGCCATGAGCGCTGTTCACTGAGCCTGCGGATCTCACAGTCTTTCATTCCAAGTTCGGTTGGAACTCCCGTTTTCGTGGCCGTCAGCAGGTGCGAACCCCCAAGGACCGTGACAGAAAGCAAGACCGCCTGAAACCGAAAGCAATGAGCCAACTGCAGGCTGTCGCGGCACGTAAGGCTCCAAGCCAACCTGAACCTGCTGCTCTGAACCCCGCGCCTGCAGGAGAGGCAAAAAGAGATCGTGGCTTCGGAAATGTTGATCCCAAAAAAGGCAGCATCAGCCGGAATTCAACTCACTGCATCTGTTGGACAAGTATGAAATTCAGCACTTGCACTCACCTCACAGGGCCCTCTCTCTCTTACGCTTGCGGCAATGCATGGCAAAGCTAAACTTGGCACAGTCGGCTTGGATGCTGGATCTACACAAGAGCTGTCTGTTTCCGAAGCGAGCCCTCTGCGCTGTCCGACGTTGTGTCGTCGCACATCTCACTCACCCCGCGCAGCCTCACGGCAGTAGGGCCGAGAGAGTGGTGCGGAGAGGTCCGAGGCACGTGGACGTGTCTGCATGTGGCTGCGGCGCATGCATCGTATTGCATCTTGCCTGGCATCTCCTCCGAGGAAGATCAGCCAGACGCAGACGGGTACCCAGTGAACCAGCGCTGCTGCCCACAAATTGCCTGCCCAAACTCTGGCGGCTCATCTCCCCTTGATCAGCGCCGAGCCCACTTTTCTGGCAGCTCTGGGGTTCTGCAAGGCGCTTGCGCCTGATCCCAGGTACACGAGGCTGCAGGCGATGCCCAGGCAGGTTGCGAGATACCTCAGAGCGAGGCTGCAAGGCCCAGCGGTTCCCGGGTTGGCCACCGTCTCCCAAACTCTCTGCCAGGGCACAGGAAGCGCTTGTCCTGAAAGGTCCTGTGCCCAGCGCGCGGAGAGCGCAGAGAGACGCGTGGGCTCTGCCGTCGGGGGTCCCCAGGGTCCCCCCCAACCTACCTGCCCTGGTCTTTCGTCGCACCCGCTCGCGACAGTAAAGGGCCGGAGACCAGGTGCATAGCCTCAGCTTGCGGAGGTGTCAGGATTCCTGACCCGCGTGCACCAAAGCGGCCATGCCGCCACAAAGAGCAGCAGGCAAGCGAGTGCCCATAACCTGGGCCGTCTGGACAAGTTGCAAAAATGCTGCCGCTCTCACCGCCAACATTGCATGGCTCTTCAAGGCGCGACACGAGCTCGACGTCTTCAACATGGCAGCCTGAACACCAGAACCCGACCAACTAACCCCGAGCTGCAGCAAAGGCTCCACTGCTGCATCGACAGCCAAGGCAGCATTCCCCAGTTCGAAGTCAAACCTGCAGAAGTACCCGATCGCAAGTTGGTGAGGTGCCAGGATACCCGTTTGCTGATGGTCACCGATTCGTGTCGTTTACTAGCACGACCCGGCTCGGACTGGAGCTGAGACATCTGAGATCGGCAGTAGACAAACTTTGTAGTCTCGTTCTTGTCTTGCTTTGCACTCTCTTGGAACGATCCTAGTCCTAATCCAAGGTGTGTTAACCGGGAGCCACCTTCGGAGAGGTCCGCGTCGGCATTGGGCCTAAGATTGCCGGCACCAAGGATTCCTAAAGGTTACAGTCTCAGTTGCGCAGAAGCAGCAGTCATGCAGCTGCATTTCAACACACTCTGGCAACTAAGTTGCAGGAGGATTGAGCGCCAGAAAGCCTGACAAGTGCCAGTGCCGTGTGCACTGCGACAGTTCAAGCAGCATCGGTCGCATCACTGCCGTGACTGAATGTGACTGTAGACCTAAGTATGTTGCTAGTACTTTCCCGGCTCCACCTTCGCGAATCAGAGACACAACTCTCCCTCTCCAGAGTCGATTGGGCTGACCCTGCGCTGATACCCCATCATGAAATCGGAACATCCCTGCACCTCCTCGGCCAGCGCTGGAAAGAACAGCGCTCGCGCAGCCAGCAACACTGCAAAGCGCGCACTTGAAGGCCTCGACCAGACCTGCCCACGTGCTTACGAGCTGGCTTTTGTGCCCGGCCTTTTTTCCGATTGAATCCAAGCTGCCAGGAAGCCGTGCCCAGGCCCGTGCCGCCCGAGCAGCGGCACGGCAGCCGCAGCCAGGGCCAGAATGGCACCTGCTGTTGCATAGTATGGCGTATGGCCGGTTGGAGGATGGACTCCACTCCACTACACGCCTCCAGTTCTTGTATGTCTGGCTACTGCGGCTCGGCACTCCGACTGTTGCCTCCGGCAGCTAGCAGTGCTTGGCTCGAGGGCACGCCACTGGCAGCCACCAACTGGCAGGAGCATGTGTGGAGAGTTACACTGTGAAGGAAGTCCTCACAATTCCTCACACACACCCGCTCCGCCATGGATTCCTGTGCGCCTGAGGCCCCCGCACGCGCCCGGAACAAGAGCAGCAAGCTGCTGAAGTCCATGTAACAACCTAAACGGCCCCCGAAAGGCTTCAAAGTCAACATTTCCGCCGAATTTCATGGCTGGGAGCCTCGCTCGACTGCTCAACGTGGTGTTGCTTGTGCAGTGTGCAGCGGTAATTTGTTGGAATGTCTGTACCACTCTGCTGAAGCCCGGCGGCGGTAGCATTCAACGTCCGTCACAACACCTTGACTTGTCGAAGACGAGGTCCCCGCGCACTTCGGGTGACCGAGAGGCATGTCTTGCACCGCTTTGATGGCGGTGCTAAGCGGTCGCCGAACAGCCAACTTCAGGCCACGGCTCTCGACTCGACATTGACATGACCATCGTCATAGTCACGAGAGTCACCACCGTACTGTAAACAATGCCGCTGTGCAAATGCCTTGCATTCTGAAGCGACCGCCACAGATCGCTTCATGGCGGCACGACATGCTTTCCACTGGCAAAAGCTCTCCCACACCTATCGCATGCATCTGGCTACGGGTTGGGACTCGCTTTCCAACTCCAGAACCTTTTTCCGACGAGAGGCCAAGGCTTCGGCTAGGCGGCTAGTCTGCCGAGCCAGGCAAGCAGCTGGAAACCTCTGGAAGCGAAGAATAGCAAAAAGAATGCGATGTCTCAAAACGCGCCTGGCAGCTGCCTGAAGTGGCTTCGGTGGCTGGGGTTCTGTACGAGGAACCTGCCCGTCAAGGATGATTTGCAGGCTGTTTGAATGCAAATCGAAATACGTTACAGAACCGCTCATCCTGTGTAACCTGTGCCTGAGCTGTGTTCGAACTGAAGATGGATAAATACAATACACACCCCAAGACGATCCAAGGCTTCAAAACTCGCCAGCTAAGACAGAATTGCAATGTGCGGCAGTGCCCCGAAGCGGACTCATGCCCTCCTCTTACTTTTTACAAGTCGCTTCGTCCTTGTAGAGTGATCCCGACAAGGCCAGCGCTTCTCTCGTTATCTGCGTGGCCGCTTCCAAAGATATGGGAGGACGACGTGGGCTTGCAGACTGCACCCGTTCGGAGCGATATTCAAAGGCCCATCTCGGGCAGCGGCCAGGCTCATGATGCCCATCATCCCCGGCAAAAGGTCAATAGGAATGCTCTTGATTCCTAACCGGAACCTACTTGCGAAGACGGAGTGTGGTGTGTTGATATTCCGATGAACATCACTGAAGCGACCTGAACGGTCGAAGGGTGAAACTACTCTCTTGTCTACAGCATCACCAAACAGCTCTGGGAGGTCGTTCGAACCTTCCAGGATGGCCAGAACAACGGCTTCTGCTTCACAGGCTACTCTAAAACACAGAAGCACGACGAACAAGCAGAGACGCAACTTGCCGGCCTGGCCTCACGCGGGCACCCAAACGGCAGCCTGCTCGCTCCTGCTGCACATGGGGTGGGGGGGTAGGTGCATGTAGAGTCTACAAAGCCACGTCTCCAGAACATCGGGATGCGGTCTGTGACCCGAACCGTCCTGAACCTCTCACTTCCCTTTCTTGGAGCTGTGCCCTGGGCTTTCGCACCTTCTGTGGGCTAAGACGGAGCTTGCCGCAGCCGCTGCAACTGCCGGGCCTTGAAGGCCTTGGATTCTCGAGGTCTCGCAGGTTCAATTCTGTTCTACAACGTCTCTCTACCGCAGACTCATGCAAGGATCCCACAGTGGAGTCCCTAGAGATGCTGGCTTTCACAGTTCACAAACCCGACTCACACGCTACCAGCCCGATTCTACTGCTGAAACCGGGCCTCGGCTCTTCAAAGGCTCCACAAAGGTCCCTGAAACCCGTAGGGCTCTTCACATCATTTCACATTGCACTGCAAAACCTTCATGTTCCGTTGCTGAAGAGTTTCATACTCCAGAGGATCGTGCGCCTGGCTTCGAGATGTGCAGAGCCACTTGTCAAATGCGTGCGAAAGGCTGTCTCAAAGGGATTGCATGAGTGGCATGATAGGCTTGATAGGAGACAAAGCGTAAAGGAAGTATACACTACCCAGTGATCTAGGAGAGCCTCTGATGTGACTTACACGGCCCCGCTCGGAGTAAGACAAGGCCAGATGCTTTAGTGTAGGGGGCTTCCATTGAAGGCTCTAGTCCGGGAGCTCGAGACGCGGCGCCGCATGACATCTTTTTTAAGTTCAGACATCTCCTTGAATCCTGCTTGCCTGCAACGGCCGGGGCGGGCGGCTGGAGCAAAGCCACTGCAAACTCCTTTCGGATGCTGGTATTTGGGAGCTCACTTAACAGCAATGCAAGCTAGTGGAGCGGATGACGCCGACGAGGAACACTGCACCGACTGCACGTCTAAAACACTTCGAGAGCTGCTCAGATCATGTCCGGACCTGTCTGAGAGCATGCAAACGCTGAAAAGTTTCGGGTCCTGTAGCAAGCCACTAGCAGAACTCCCAGGAGCATGCTCACGGCCTCGACTTGAGTCTGCAAATCCAGCATGTATGCATGCGCACACTCAACATTTGCAGAGTAGACCAGTCAACCACTCCATCCAGATCTCGGTCCAGACAGATACTTCTCTGGACCCAGCGACTCCTCAGCCAAGGGGCCATGTAAAGGTGCAGCGCTCGGAAGGGCGGTGGCGTATCTGGCAAGATTAGCTGGAAATTTCGAAGCGTCGGATGCTCGGTGCCTATGGCGCTGTGGGGTCTAGAATCTCGGACCTAGGATTCAGGATTTCTGATTTTGTTTGGGTTCATCAAATTTGAGTCCGGACTGCATATTCTCATCAGACCACCCTTCAACACTGCAGGGCTGCAGACATCCATTCGGCCCAATCCTGACTCCAAGCGCTCTCCAATGACACTTGACCAGCAGCGCAAGAACACAGAGTGATATCCAAGAAAGCACATCCGCATTTGAGGCCGGAGGTTGCCGTCCCCGCAGAGAACTCGCAAGTCTGTCCCGCTCCCCGGATGGGCCTTCGGCCTGCCCGACGGACCAAGCCATTGGGCCGACCTGGCTGGATGCAGCGAGAGAGATCAGATCTGCAGGCGATGAGACATACATACACATGCATACATACGTACATACGAACATACATACATACGAATACCTGCATACATACCTGCATGCATTAATACATACCTACCTACAATATGTATCACGGCTCTTCCACCTACAGGTTTAGGCAGTCCTTTGCTGCTGTACGCTGGCACACGGTATTCTAATGATTCTGCGTGTTTTGTGAACTGCCATGCCGCGTACCATCTCATGTTGGCATTGATTCATTATAAGAGAGGAGGAAGGTGAGGAAGGTAGAGACCGCACACGCCTGCAAAGCCGTGGCCCGATGGGCCCTGGCTGGAAGTCGTGCCTGACACAGCTTGTCAGTGGGAACAACAGGTGGAGCCACCAGCCCCGAAGCAGACATTTTACCAAAGCCTGAAAACTTAGTGTCTCGGTGTTTTCACATAAGGCTTGTTTGCTTGAAGCCGACACTCTGTCCAGCCAGACCCGGGTTTCCAGCATAGCCGCTCCTGCAACCTTATCTGGGCTTCAAACAGAGAATTGCAAGACGGTGATCAGTGTTGCTGTTCGCCAACGAACCCTGATGGCTCCAAATGAACCCTGAACTCCTACTACGAGAGGGCGATTGAAAGCTTCGCCACCGCAAGCGCAGCATCCCAAATGCCTCTGGTACATCTCCAGGAGGCAGCTCTGCCTGGAGACGCCACCCACACTGAAACACACCCGTAAACACACATGGACCCCTGGGCCAAAGTCGAAGACCGTGAGATGATAACTTGTTGTGGTATATGTGCTGCAAGTGCCGCACTGCAACCTTTGCCACGTAACATCACATGACGATACATGATGATGCATGCCATTGTGGCAAACTCCTTGACAAAGGCTCTGCGGGTACAAGCCTTGCCTCCGTGGCGTTCAGCGCCACCTACGAGCACGTGCAAAGGAAACCCTGTCGCCTGCACCGACTCATGACCTGGACCTTGTGAAAAATCAAGGTGGAGAGGCCTCGATCCTGTCCGTGCGATTGACGCTAACGAGCGCATCGGTGAGGAACAGAAGCGACATCCTGGAATTGGAGTTTGGTCGTCTGTCGTTATTGTCTGTAGTGTTGTCGGCTTTCTTCTTCCTTTTGAATTTTATCGCATGTCAAAAAATGCTGGGTGCATCCATTTTGGGTGACTTGAGTCTAGGCAATGCTCCAGCCTGGATGGAACAGATGTCGCTTCTAGTTGCAACGGAGGCACATGTAGAATCGTCCCAAGGACGTGCTATGGAATCCAAGACTTGCAGTCATGTCTTGTCCTTGCCAGGGTGTGACACATCTGCATCAGCACATGAATCAGTTTTTGAAAGCGGCTTTAGAAAGTAGCAATCTGAACATGTTTTGACAAAGTACTGACGATGCCCTGCCAGTTTCCCACTCCCAGCATCTCCCAGCCTGTATCGAATTTAATAGAGCTGTAGTTGGTGAAGGATGAGCCACTAACAGCTGCGAACAGGAAACTCTATGCTCTTTCAGGCATTCCTCCATGTCACGTCAAATCCTATTGATTGCACCCTGCTCCGGCGGTTCCTTTCTGCCAACATCTCGAGCAAGCAGCCTCACACACAACTCCCAATCGTGCATGACCAGTCAAAGATTGGTGTGCAGCGTGCAGGCTCTCAGCCGAGCTTTCGTATCAAGAAAGCGTGGCACGCAAGGGAATCCTTCGCGCAAGTCACAGAGCTGCGAAAGGACTCATGGGGGCGTGAAACTGCAGCTCGATCCACGGAAGGTTAGCAGACTTCCTTCCCGGACCTCAACTTCGAAGGCTTTCTGAGATTCATGCAGTTTGGACTACATTTAGGGTAAGGGATTGACTTTTAAAACAAAACCCCAGTAAACCCAAAAAAATAGCACGGCGCCTTACAAAGCAACATCTACCAACTAATTTGGGTTTTTTGGGAATACAGAACACGGTGGGGTGGAAGGGACTCCTCTTCAGCCGGGCTTCTTCTTCCATCCCCGTGTGTTGCGCCGGCCGCCCCGCGCACCGCAGGGCTCCCTGGCCATGGTGGCGACCAGACGACCAGACGGCTGGAGGCCAGCCTATGGGCATGCAGCGCTCATCACGCTGTCGGCCAACATGGTAAAACTAGGACAGAGACAGCGTCCACATGAGTCTACATTTGGGAGAAAAGTTTTCTTAACTAGTTCAAGCTCAGCATGGATCCGTTTCGCATCCGTTGGTGTACTGGGGTTCCCGACATACATAAGGCTGTAGGAAGGGCTAAGGTTGAATATTTTCACAGGCCGGAAGGTCTGTGCTGGGTTCGTGAGAGCCCGGCCTGCGTCATGCGGTTGATCATCTCGGAAGCTACATCGGGGTTGCGATTGTGGGCCATGACCACGGCCGACTCGAGAGTCTCTCGGTTCAGGCGAACTGAGCAGCTCAGAGCGTCGGCTAGAACCCGCGAGGCCCTGATCGCCTCTCCGAACTTCACACAGCCACTTAGCAGTGTCTCGAAGGTCTTCCCATCTGCTTCAATGCCATCCTCGAGCATGCGCCGGTACGCGTCAAAGGCTTTGGGTAAGTCGCCACTCCAAATACATGTGGACATCAGGCAGGTGTAGGCCTGCGTATTGAGCCGGAATCCGAAGCGCTTCGGATAATCCTCAATAACCTCCAGTGCCGCCGGCAGATCTCCGCAGCGGCCGTACAGCTTGACTAGAATAGAGACTGTGAAGTTGGAGGGCGCAACCCCGGCTTTCCTCACGGATTGAAAGGCCAGAAATCAACAAATACAAAGGTGCTCCAGCGAGACAAAGCCAAGCATCTCCATATCAGCCAGGACCTCAGCCCACAGTATGATTAGCGACATAAACGCCAAAGAGAACGCGTCACTGTCCGCACCATTGCCGATGCAAAACTCCAAATTGCAAACTGCAAAAGCCCGAATCATGGCCTGGCCTCTTCCGTCAGAGCACGCCTCTGACTCCGAGCACAGCCATGCCTGGCAGGTTTCAAAGGCGCGGGAGTCACCATCTCTTGCTTTGGCAATGCTTGTGGCCAAGGCGCAGGATGGAGTTGAAGAGTATCGAGTCTGGCTGAATCCCTTGGCCCTGCATCTGGCCCAGAAGCAGGATCGCTGTCCTGACGCACGTCTCCGGGAGCCCTCTCACGAAACTGGTCGAAGCTGCAAAATCACTCAGCGACAACCGCACAGAAGCTGACATCCCAAAGCAAAGCTTACCCAGACAAGTCCATCTGATTCTATTTCGCCAGCCGAGTCTCTCGAGGTCTCCCGAGCTGGCAAAGCCTGCGCCGCTCTTGCTGGGATATCACATGGGATGTGCAACTTCGGGCATCTGTGTAAATCACTCATAGCTCTTCCTTCTGCCTCTGGGCCACTCGCAGGCTTCTGGAAAACTGCTGGTTGAGCAAAACTGACCGAGGCAAAATCCGAGAGGCACTTGAGTCACTTGACCCTCACGGCAGCCTTTGATGAGGATAGAGAAGCTGATGAGATCGGGTCCTGAGAATCCGTAGCTAAAGCGCTCCCGACATGGACCAGGCGGAAGACCATGCTTCAAGTCCTGTATCCTGGCACGCCATGTCCCGAAACAGCTGCATGGCTCGCTTGAGATCTCCAGCACGCACCAATGCCTGAGGCAAACAAACCAAGATGTAACAAAATCATGTCAGTGATGGGATCAGTATCGCACACCGCAGTGCCTTAAAGATTGCATAGAAGCCGATCAAACAACATGGCGATCGCTCAAAAACAAGGAAGCAGCAGCACTGCCGTCCTTCTTGGCTGAGGCTTCCAAGCTGCATCTATCAGGGTGTTGTACGTGACCGCGGTGAGTCGCAGTGAACCCTTGGTTTCTTCGTAGAGCCTGAAACAGGCTGTGTCTCGATGTAAGAGTCATGCACCCAGGACGCACCCTCCCTCCGCCCGTCGAAGGCAAGGCACTCCACTGCAGCGGCCAGCTGCTGGGACGCAGTCGCAGCCTCGAGAGCACAGAAAAGCCCGGGCTCGGCTGAGTCGCTTCGGACCTTGACAGCCAGCGCGAAGGCCACAGCAGCTCGCGGGAAGCCAGCAAGGAGAGCCCGACATTCCTGCCAGCAGCGAGGTGCTGCTTTCTGAGGTTCCACAGCCCCGATTGGGACAAGCTTCGCTCCTTGAAGACACGCAAGGCCGCCTTGACGTCCGAGGTCGCCAAGCAAGCATCTACCTTCTCACCCGCACGTGCAGACAGCCGAACACGCAACGGATTGAACCAGGCAGACGCCGATGTGAACTTCTCGCAGAAGCCGAACCCTGCAGAATGTTCAAAACCGACACTGGGACCAGCTGGTACCGCAGCAGAGCGACCATGCTCATGAAGGCATCCTCGTGCTCTGCATCAAAACAACAACTTTGGAGATTCCAGCAAACCACGCTATCCAGCAGTCGGCATGTGCAGGAGACACAAGCCCTGTCCTCCGTCGGCATCGTATCGTCATCTAGCCTTCGGCGACTTGACTCGCAATGTCTCTTGGAAACGTGCCGTGATTCAGTGATATTTCCGAAAGGAGTTAGCTAAAAGAACACACCTGTGCCAAGGAACCTACCGGACAACACAAAGAACCAAATCGCTCTCATTTCGGATTCTTTTCAAGCTTGTTTGCCTTGGCACTGGCGAAAACCCGGCGAGACAGGACTTCGGGGCAAAGAAACCTTGCAACCAGTTTCTGGTCTCCTTACTCAGTGAGTCCTGACCGGCTACCCCGCCCGGTGCAAGATCTGCTGCCAAGGCATGGGTGAATTCTTGGGAGGCAGGTGCATATCATGCGGCGTCCTGGGACATGTAAACTCTTGGTGTGTATGTGTTGGCTCTGGCACGTGTGTGGAGGTCTTGACCGGTTCTAGAATGTACAGTAGAGGTCCGTGAGGACCAGCATGCCATCTGGGCGAACGCCAGACGAGAACCATTTGCTGATATGTGTGCATTGGGCGCAAATGAAATATAGGCTCCTGTATAGAGGGCTCCCTGTCGCTTCCTTGCAGGACTGCTGAATTGAAAGTTCACTCAGAGCACCTCATTGCCCGTTCTGTTCTCGCCGAGTCGCAGCCGCCGCCAGAGACGCCAGGCCTCAGGCAAGTTCCTGGCATGCCCGTGGGCGCGCATCAGCATCACGCAGGCCTGGCGAGAACAGTGAAACTCCGACTGACGAGGAGTCATGTTTTGGACATTCGTCCCACGTCGGACACGTCAATCCGAGTGGATGGGGCAAGAGCAAGCACAGAACCATGAACGGTTGAACCTTGGACCGTGCACCCCACAAGTTGAACCTGCTCGAAACCTGAATCGAAGCTCGGATGCTCGTATCAAGCGTCGTGCTAAGGTGGATTGCAACCCCGGCGCATGAGACGAGGGTGCCAGTCCCGTCGTTTCCCAGCGTCTCAGCAGTTCCGGTAGTCTCGAAGGGTCCTCGGCTGGGCGCTGCTAAGAAGAAGTCAGAAGTGGCCACTGGGATGCCACTGCAATGCATGGAGGATCCGACATCGAGTTGCCAAGGCACCTTCAGCCGGATGCAGACATCCAACAAGCAGTTCAGCAGCACTTCGTCCAGCACGATCCCGCCTGGGCCAATCGGTTCAAGAGAGAACGGAGAACGGTAAACGCTGCGATCCCAGAGGTCGGGTCTTGTTCAGTGTCAGTACGGCCGTTTCAAATGCTTGCGGGAGCCAATCTACTGACCTACCAAAAGACGCTCCTAAATGAATGCAGCTCTGAGAAAATCGAGCAGGCAGGATACTGAGCCTGCACCCCTAGACATTTCCTCGCCACAGAATCAGATGCAGTAGAATCTACGGTAGACTATGCTGCACGCCCCACTTCCAGGTCTCCTTTTGTGGCCCAGAAGATAGTCAGATAGTCGCCTGTAGATTCTGCTGTGGACTTTTCCTCTTTTCCTTGGGATTCTCCGGTCTTGCACTGAACGGGGTGGGCCTTTGGACATCAGCTCCAGGATTTGGTCCAGGCCCTGCGAGGTCGGAGAGTGTCGCAGTCCTTGCGCAAGCTGGCACGCGCACGGAATGTAAAGCAAAGACCCCCGAGCCCCAAATACTAAAGGACTCCCCAAGACGCGAAAATCCGAAGACAGCGATCCGTCTGGGCACCTGCTGCCAAGATCGAGCAGGTGAAGGCATCTGGCTCCAGGCCCGCCCGTTGCATCTCCTGCAAGGCTTCTGCTGTGGGCCCGGGGATCCCACGAGGTTGAGGGAAAACCTTAGCCCCGGTCCTGCACGAGCCGCCAAGATTGCCGTGCATTCTGTTGTGAAGCCTACAACAGGTGACGCCAAACCAAAAACGTGCTCGGCTCGAACCGTTCCTTGATGAGCGAGTTGTAGGTCACCACATTGGGCTGAATTCCCCTGCGGCGCATGTCCTGCTAGGCTGCATGAGGCGAGGCGATTTGGCAACGTGCGCAAACTGTAGGAAATTAGACATCCTCCAGCGTGAGTTTGACCTGGGTATGGTCTTGTACAGCAAGCAGCAGCTTCACGTACCTGCAGGCATCAAGACCGTTTCAGTCGTGTTCACGCAGTGGCGACTTAAATTATTCAGCTTTACCGGATGGAGCGACCGGGCTCTTTCTTGCCGCCACGCGGCGTGTTGTACGACACGACATCGACGTGACCCGCTTTCCTCGGACAGAAGCCAGGGGAAGGCATCCGGAACTATCGCGCTCATGTCAAAAGTACACCTCCGCCCGAGGCACGTCATTTTCTGCATGAGATCTTCGGCGGCCTTTCTGTCTCCGCAGGCAACACAGGCCTTGCAGACAAGAGTTTATGCTGCATCATCTGGAGTCGCAAAAATCACCGCTCAGACTGACTGCTAACCCCCACCGCAGGATGTCCGTTCATCTGCGTGTATCGACGGTTGACAAACGGGTGTCATCCCTTCAAGGCTGACACACACACACACACACACAAACCCAAGCAAAGGGTTGCTAAGCAACAGAACGCACCTGAACGTCTCGGAGGCCTTCAACTTTCAACTGGCACCCACACAACTCACCTCCAATGCGCAGTTGTAGGTGGTCGCATCGAGTTCCGACCTTTCTAGTGTTCAGGTGGGACCCTCGCCGTATCATCGCGACTCGGACACATGAAACCCTCTGGGCTTGTGCCGTGTTGAAAATCAAGACTGGTCCTTAAACTCCTCCAGACCTCCAAGTCCGGAGCTCGCCAACCATGCTAAAAATCCGGAAGCATAGGATTGGACTCCTGCCACGGAGGTTGCGCAAAGTCACCCTGCCCTTGAGGCTTAGATACGAAGAAGGACAGCTTTGCTGATCTGCATCACAGCATCATTGCAAGATGCCATTTTGACGGGATACAAGTTGTTTGCACGAGTACCAAAATCCGGGCTTGTTTGGCGACCCGGTGAGTGGAGGACGGGTACTTCCTGGCAGCTGCGTTCATTACGGGCAGGGACAACAGAAACCAAGAAAGACAGGAAGCAGGAATCCAGAGCACACAAGCCCTGGTCCACGGTTCCCTCTTTAGCCCCCAATGGCACACCCACGAGCATGCAGAGAGAAAATATTCATGCAGCCTTGGCGACGTCACCACAGATCACAACGACAGGCTCGAACATGCGAGCACACACGCCACACACATTGTTACAGCTGATTGCCTAACATTTCTGTCTCATGTTCGTACCCTGCCTACGACACCACGAGTAACCTTCCCATTTGTCACAGACATGTCGTGCACACACTATACCAGTGAATGTCTCGAAAACCCGTGGCCTGGAACAAGTGCCTCGCCAAAGATTGGCGGCCACCCTCCACTGCGGCCTTCCGCAGCTGCTGATGTTCGCTAGAAGTTGCTGTGCTGCTTTCGTTCTTCGGCTGATAAGAAGGATCCTCACCTGAAGGCAGAGGAGCGCCTCATCTGGCCTGAGCCCTTCATTTTCCATGCGCCCTTGCCTTGATCAAGGCACCGTAGGTGGCCGTGTCTGGTGCGATGCCTGCAAGAGCTTCACCCTCTCTCCATGACCCCGCATGGTTCTGCTCTGACACACCATGAAATGCCACTTGGAAGTCCCACCTGCTTTCTCGAAGTCTGCGTGGAGATCGCAGGCTTTGTCCCAGAGCTTGGCTTGGCTGTATACTTTCAGCAGCGAGCTGTACAGTGGCAGGCTGGGCCCATACCTCCACAGCGCGAAAGGCTGGCGCAACAGCTGCGACCAAGCTGCACAGCTGCACCTCCCAACATCTCCCAAGCCCTGACTCGGAGCATGCCTGGCCACGCCGAAGGAGGCGAACTGCTCTGCGAGACGGACAGCCTCGCTTCGCACGCAGGGCTTGGCAGCGCACTTGGGGCTCCGGGGGGCTCCGGGGGGCTCGGGTGGTCAGAAATTGTCAGAAGAGACCAGGCCCGGCTCAGGGCTGCAGCTTTGGTACCCTGATAGTGGCTTCGTCATGCCCGAAAGCGGGACAGGACCAACTCAAGGGAACTGAAGCTGTGTCAAATCGGTTTAGTGGGTGTCGAAGTTTTTTCTCCATGTCAATAATTAAGAAGTTTCAAGAACACTCAGAGCTTGCAGGAGCTCACATGGACGACCGAGCGCCTGGGAAGTGGCACAGAGTGCCAGGAGGCCACACAGGAAGGCCTGCGAACAATCGGACCCTTGACTTCATCTTTGGCTTTGTGTGCTCGGCCTGGTTGAGATGCCAGGCGCTCAAGATGGCTAGGACATGATCACATGCGGACATTTTGTGGGTATATATCATTGGTTTCATTCCAGCGTACCCGGCTCCTCCTTGCAAATACGAAACACTCTGGTGGATCACCGCGCAGCCTCCGAGGGGCGGAGGTTCGCCAGGAGCGTCTCGGAGGCCTGGACAACAAGATTGGGCTTTGGCCTGAAGGGCACTGGCAGCCGAACCCAGCTCGATAACAATGCGAGACCTCGCGATGCCCCGCTGTATCACCACAGCCGGCGAAGCCACGCAGCAGGGCCTCTGGCATCAGGATGCCACCACATTTCAGCAAGACTTGCTGTGTAGCAGCTTGTGGAGAGCTCCGTTCAGGTTACTCCGCTGCAGAGCACAGCAGAGCTGCACTGACGAAAGTTCCCAAATAATTCAAACAATGTTCAATGCATGGTGGCATCCAACTCTCGCAGCATTTTTCCCCCAGGCCACACTACGATTATAGATCCTTGGCCAACCACATCTAGGAAAGCTCGTTGACGAAGGGCGGCGCACGCTGCACTTGTGACATGCGGGTGGCCAAAGCATGGACGGCTTGCTGTCACAACGTTGGCCCTGAAAAGGTTGGCCCTGACAAGGCTAGAAGAAGGAGCTGTGCTGTTTCTCTAGAATCCCAGGCTGGAATACTCATTCAAGTACTGGGCGACTTTTGACTTGTGCTACAGCATTCCAGGCCGGGTCGACAGCTCGAGCACGATGGCCCTCCTCATTGTGACAGCCTCTCCTCTTCACCGCTTTCAGTGAAGCGAATCACCGAATTTGGAACTGCCCGTGGTCACACCACGCATTTCAAATGTGTGAGGACTTGAAAGATCCTCTTGGATCCCAAAGTACTTCATCACCCCCAGGGCCCGTACCCTGTAGCCCACAGCATTAGAGCTCACAAAACCAAATCTTAGCTTACGAACGGACTGGACGGTCAACACCCGGATCTGATCTTCAACTGTGAAGCAACCTACCCCCGAGTTCCCGACAACAGGACCCTAAAGTCACGTCAAACCCTGCTGTGCTCAAAGACGCTGGAACTGCTTGTTGCGGAAGGCATCCACGGCTGTAGAACGCCCCGTGCCTCGAGGAAAGAAGGAGGTGCCCGACCGCACAGGGGCACAGACACGAGGCTTCTTCAGCCGCAGCCATGATGGATCACAATATTCGTTGCAGATGTGGTAAGCAAAGAAGTTCTGCATCATCCGCAAGCCACCATCTGTGGCCCCAAATTCCTTCTTCGCAGAGAGCACCGCAGGGTCGGTCAGGATGTAATGCGTGTCGTAGCCACCCCCCTGCAGGTCGCAAAGGAGACGCTGCCCCTCAGAGAAATGGAAGGAGAAGTGAGACAACGCCTGCATCATGTTGTAGCCTTCATTCACCCAACCGCTGTTGGAGTTGAACTTTGCATATGTGCCGTCGATCAGAGGCTCCACGAGAACCTTGCGGTCTCCACAGTTCCAAACCTCGGGCTGGTTCAAGTACACTCTGCGTCGAGCTGGCTGGCCGCGCTGGCGGCAGTGTTCCTCGTTGTACTCGTTAAAGGCCTCGATGATCCGACCGGCTTCCGCAACGGCCTGAAGATCTTCTTGGATGAGGGACTCTGTCTTGGCGTCCTTGAAAACCTTGTAAACACCTTTCAGGTTCTTGCGCGGCCCCTTGGTGAAGGTCACGAGGAAGACGTCCCGGAAGGTGCCACTCTCAAGGTACGTCCCCGAAGACACCTCAGGAACGCATCGCATGGCCCAGCCTCGATCGTTGGTTTCGAAAACCTGCTGCAGCCTCTCTTTCAGCTCGGCTTTGGTACCACCGACCTTGCGGCGCATCTTCCGGAGCTCATCGCGCATTTCAAGCGCTGTCATGTCGTCAACACGCTTGCGCTTGACAGGGTCGTGGCGGGCTGCCGCCAGCTTTCCCCATCCGTAGCATTGGTCGCACTTCTCTTCCCTACTCAACGGGTAACTGATGCCGCCCAAGGACAGGTTCAAGGTCCGGCCTATCTTTCCTTTTCCGTTGCAGCTTGTGCAGAGAACGGTCCAGCAAGCCCCACCACACTCCGGGCAAACCACCTTGAAATTGAAAACCTTGTCGCCCAGAGGGAACGGCTGCAGAATGGCGCCGCTGCCTTGACAGTGCTGACACTTTCTGGGATCATGCACTTCAGACATGGCGGTGGCAAGGTGGAAGACCTGAATGTTCCGGAAGGAACACGGATCCCGTTGCAATATGTTACGATTGTTACTGGTAAATGCTGGCAATTGGCACGGCATGTGAAGTCTTGGCCTACGGTGCCGTAGCACCATGATAACAATGACTCCACCGCCACTTCCGCAAAGAGCCTCTGATGTATGCGGGATGGGGCAAAGAACACGCAATGCACATGCCACCTCACGATGAGCCCAGTTGTGCTCATGTTTGCACGGAGGCCTCGCAGCAACCGGGCGGCAGATGCACGCATTCTCGGCTTACTCGGGCGACCTCCGGGCGACAGGCGCATCTGCTGGCAGGTCTTGTAGGTATATATATGTATGTAATGCAGGGGTATGATGCAGTCTCGCATGGCAGACCTCCTAAGCATCAGCTGCTTGACGCTGAGAAACAAACTTCCCGACATCTCGTGAACTGCATAGCGAAGTGTCAGGGACCCGCTTTCAAGCCGGAACACGGACACAGAGTTCGCAACGGTAAGACGTCAATTCGCAGCAAGGAGTACATTACCGAGGGATTCCGACCCGACCTCGAGCAAAGCGGCCCCGTCGCGAGCCAGTGCGGCACCCTGTGCCAGCACTGTAATCGACCGAGTCGTCAGAGAGCCTTCCGGCGCGATTTCTATCGTTTGCTGATGCATTCCATTTCTCTTTAGCTTCCTCTCTGAGTTCCTGAGGCCCTGCCTCCAGCGATGTGGATAGGAATCTCGTTAAACTAGCTTCGTGGACCCCGTGCCTGGCCTCGAAGCACCCGACCCTGTTGCCCTCCCAAGCCCTTGCCTTGAGGCAGTCTCTTCAGCATCTTCGCAGCACCCTGCAGGACTCACGCGGGAGCATGCGGGAGCATGCGGCAGCGAGTTGAGCGGGTCCGGTCCTCGGGGCCACGGCTTCGGCGGAGCAGCTCGAAGAGCGAGGCCTCAGCTGGGACTAAGCCGAGCGGCACTGAGTGGCGCAGGGCTCATGGGCCCCTGCCAAGTCCGACGGAGGGGGCGGAGATGCCGCTAATAGCAGGGCGCTCGCGGCCTCCCAGTACTGGGACTGAGCTCCGTCACTCCGGAAATCAGAACGGGCCTCGGCTGCCACGTTCCTGAGCACACGGAAGCCCCGGGCATCAAAACAAAGGCAAACCCGCTGGAAGAAGATTGGCTGTTCGCCTGTCCCGTCCAAACAAGGCTCGCATTCTGCTCGTCCAAGGCTGTTTGTAGTTGCGGCAGAGGTTGAAGCGGGCTGTCAGACCTGCAAACAGCGTCTGCAGCTCCTTTCGAAAGCCTAAGCCCCAAAGCTCCCAAGAGGTCGCCTCTGACTGGCTGGCATCCGACACTTGGCTTCGCCTTTCGGCGAGCGCTTCAGCTTCCACAGGTCCCGCCATGGTCCGCGGCTCGCCGCACGGTCTGCAAGCGCCCTAAGCGCCCGGCTAAACGGAGGGACCAGCTTCCGCTGGGCAATGCGGATGAGGAAAAAGCCGATGCAGAAGCACAGCAACAGGACGGCTTCGACATATACCTTTCACAGCTTCACCCTTCATGGGAAGAGACCCAAGCTTTCTCACCAAGAGTCCAAAAAGGGGTGTGCCCGTATGTCGCGCAAGCTTGGGGACTTCGTGGGAATGGCAATGGGCCCCTTGTTTCCGAGGTTGAACCGCAACCGACCTACAACCACTTCGTGGCAAGGACAGCGTGACAGCGCCTCATCCCAAACAGAGAGCAGCAGCTGCGTCGTGTACAGAGCCATGGAGTTTGCTACAGGACACCTTGCGGGCAGAAGCGAGTACAAAGCGGCTTCAGTGCTCATCCCAAAGACTTGTTCTTCTTCACATCTTGTGCAACTGTGTAGTTGTATTGTGTGATATGATTACCCCGTCTTTCGGCTCCGCCAGCCCTGTAGCCTACGATTGCAACTGTAGGTAGTGCAGTGCCAACGCTCCTCCCCCTACTACCAGACAAGCAATGGCACCAAGTGGAGGGATTCCTTTATCTCAGGCTACCAGTTTGCCGTCCTTAGATTGCATCCTTCCCATGAGCGTTGTAGCGAGGCGGGCAAGATGCTGCACACAGGGGCATTGCTTCGTCTTGTCATGTCATCCAGACTGGCCTCCGAAGAGGGAGCAGACCGCACGTGGAGGAAGCTACGTTGTTGGCAGATACCTCAGCTGTCTGCCGTTACTCTGTCTCAGGATTTAATCTGCGACAGGTGCCTGTGTCATCTGAGCCCTGAACGGGAACAGGGCATCGATCCAACGAATTGGAGCTTGAGCCCTGTCTGCGGCACAGAGCCTTGAACCATCTTACGATGTCTTCGCCACTTCCGAAGCATGACGGCCTCAAGACAAGTTAAAAAGAAAGTGCCAGCTATTCTGTGCAAGCCTGATCTCCGCATCGCCGTGCACGGACGCAGAGCCTCATGGCTCAACACAGATCAAAGAAGCTGAAAAGGTCTTCACATCTCCAGCTTGCAACTGCAAGCCTCAAGATGCCGAACTTGCCGACTGCACATGACCTGGCGCCGTTGAGCACAGAGATATCGATCGAAGTGGCAAGTGGAACAAGATCTCGCCACGCCTGCGGATGCTCTCAACCTGCTGAAAGCTGAAAGGGCTTGCCGCCAGCTCGCTTTGCCTTCCTCCCAGGTCAGGACTTAGAAGCCAATTTCAAATTTCCATGATCCGTTTCTGGTCAGCTTTAGACTCACTCTCCAGAGACTTCAACGAATCCTGTGTGGGTCAACCAGCGAACCGGCCGCTCGCTTCTTCGGCGGGGTGGCCGCTGGCGGCCTGTCACTTCGATCGCGCTATCGCTGCGAAACTAGTCTCGCGAAGTCTTGCTACTCTTTCCGTTGCTAGTGCTGTTACGGCTTAGTGCTCGTACCATTCCCGCACAACACATATCAATACTGCCGTTGCAATGTCTGCAAGTTTCGTGGTGTTGTTGCTTTGTGCTGCTTCGTGACATTTGACTGCTGCTGCTGTCGGCAAGAAGGACTGCAAGTCTTGCACTGTCAACCTCGGGAGTCAGGACCAACCTGCCTGGACAGCGTCATTGATCCGGTTGGCGGCGGCTCAGTCGCAGCTCTTGTGAGAAGTGGGTCCTGCATCAACTTCGAAGGTGAAAAAAGAGGCCCGAGTCCTGAGGAAAGACAGAAGACTGCTACACCCAAGGTGCCTTCACAAATTCATGCCGGGGCTCACTAGACCTGGCTGCTAAGACTTTAGACTTTAGACCTCCTTTGGACCCTGCAGCGGCAATTGAAGGCATTAGAGTCCCCCTCCCCTCAGCCTGCGACAGACTTGGCATTGGGCCAGGGAGGCGAGTCGATGATGTCGGCGTCTGAAAGAGAAATACGCGCAGGTTTCTCGGAGGAGCCCCAGTGCATGTTGCAACATTGCTCATTACGTGAAGAGAATAGGCCAACACTGGGCGAGTAGTGGACCTCATCAAGGATTACGAAATTTTAGGGGCTGTGCTTTCGCACCCCTTAACATAAGTCCGTCGGCCCTGGAAATCACTGCTTTTGCCTGGCAGTCAGACTGCGCCGAGACCGAAGTCCGTCAAGCTTCTCGCTTCTGATATTGCAATGGACAGAACTGAACCACAAAAACTACAACCCACTGCAAAGCTATGCAGCTGCGTCAATGCAAGTGCTTCCACTGACCTTTGCCGCTTCCGCAGACGACTCTGCAGCCAGGGCGTCAAGAACGAACCCGCGGAGGCCCTGACGATGTCTTGTGCTTTGGGGAAGGCATCGAGTTCTGCGAGCTTTTGAAGACGACCCCCACCCTCTCCAAAGGTGAACCCGGCAGTCCTTCAAAAAGCCTTGGGCCTCCGTCGACGAGGGCATGGAAGCAATCGCCTGCAAAGTTCCAGGATGAGTCGGGGTCGGCTGCATTTCAGTCGTAGAGGGGTCATGTAACGCAGGCAATGCGAGCACAGAGGCAAAACAAGATGCGTCGGAAGGAAAGCTCCCGAAGTCCATTAGCTCTGCCTCGAGGTCCAGGTGTGCCACGAGCACGGCACTCTCGAGGCGAAAGCGCAGCTCCAATCGTTTCCTCTCAACATCGACCCGTGACAGAACTGCACAAGAAATTTCGAAGACTAGTCGATCGCTCAAGCGCGTAGCCTGGACAGGTGCTTGCAATGGCTTGCAAGGCTCTATTCACGTGGTTCTTCCTTGCTAGGGGGTCTTTCTGCCTCATGCAATTCGACTCGACTGAAAGGCATTTCACATCAATCAACACTGTGGGCCCTGCCCGGCAGCACAGCTGCTGGCTGCTGTGGCGCAGCCTTCCTCTCACAAAATGTGCTCTCAACCATCAACCACGGGGTGCTTCCGCCCCTCCACAACATTCTGTGGACCGGACGGCCATGTCTACTCTCTAGACCGACTATGCGTGCCCGAAGGCTTGCACTGGCTGCACTGCCAATTATAGTGCTTTGCAGCATGACGCTGACTGCGTTTTTCTGCCAAGAGGTCCTGACCATGCAAAGCCGACGAAAGCAGCTGCAGAAATGTCCTCCAGGCAAATTCTGCCATTCCTGCATATCAGGTCATGAGATGAAGACCGGGCGTGTATTTTGGTGTCTTGTTGTGTGGGTCTGGCATGGTCTGGCAAGCTTTCGACTTGACCTCGTTCGGCAAAGCCTGCTGCCGCGCGCGCATTCAGAGCCCAGTTCGCTCGAAAGCACTGAAGATGCCACAACCCGAAATCCAGACAGCGCCTGCGTCTTGCCGAAGCTTCTGCAGAGCCTTCTGCAGGATGACAAGGAAATTCCGAAGCAATTGCAACAGTCTGTAACTCGGACTAGCAACAGCTGCCGGGATGGAGAGTCTGAGATTGCAATTGAGCGCACAAGAAGGCCAAACCTTGCACAAAGTACGTGGTACTCCACCGAATCATGGAGATGCTTGGCTATGTGAGACTAAACCCTAAACACCGCAATGCCATAGAACCCTCCACCCTTCGCTTGGTGCCTCCATGCCCAGATCGGCCTTGTAGAGACCGGTGAAATCAGTGCCGGCGAGTGAAATCTCGCGGGGCTACGGTTTTCAAGGGCGTTTGAGTGATTCTTAGTTGGGTTTTGGGGGGCCTTAGGGGTTTAGGATTTAGTAGGGTTGTTGAATTGACGGGGACTTTAGGGTTTTATTGCGATGTTTGGCGATTTGTTGGGGTTTTGAGAGTTTGGGGTGTTCGAGGTGGTAGCGTTCACGAAGGCTTTGAAGGTTGACGCTTAATCGGGGCTTCAGGATCAATGACAATAAACACTGCACTTTCAGGGTACTTTATGGACACTGTACATCTTAACGTCCGTGTACCTCTATATAGACGATATTCGATTTGATATGCATAGATAAATATATATATATATATACATAAACATACATGTAAATATATATATATATATGTATACACTTTTGTATATATATATATGTATATATATATATACATATATCTGTATGTGTATATATATGTATATATATATATATCTGTGTATGTGTATATATATATAGCTTATACAGACAAACAACTGTGCATATGTGTGTATATATATACACAGACGGACTTTTTGGTGAAAATGCATCATTGCATGATCCCGGCTGCCACGGTGTCAGAAGGCAAACAACATGTCTCGGCAGAAGGAGTTTGAAGTTCAAGTTTGGTCGTGCGTCAAGTATCCACGTCCCGTCGCCTGAAAAGGTTCCTCGCGTCTATCACATCAACCAGTGTTTTGGAGTTCATCCCTGATGCAGGAATGCTCACCACTAGGCTAGACTCCTTCACGGCAGGGTCGACCCTAGAGCCTCCCTTTGCTGCGGGCCCGCAGCCTCCGAACTCGCTCGGCGGCGAAGGAGCGCCAGGAGGGGCTCGCCGCCCCTGCTTCGAAGGATTATTGTGACTGCAGACTTCTTGAAACTGGGGTGGCCCACCTCTTGGTGCGGTGCTGAAAGGATGCTTTGCCACAGGGTTCGGCATGTAGGTGGGCTCTGGTTCAACCAAGCTAGGCCAAAAGATTCATGGTCTGCAGCTGTAATTATGGCTCTTTGGGTTTGCCCTGAGAAGCCAGACGAAGAGCACACGAAGTGAGAACTGGCCGTCTTCGTCCTTCCGGTCCCTCCAGCCTCGAATCTGGAATGTGAACGACAGAACCAACCTCGCCATCGAGTTGAAGCACAGGTGCGGTCACACGGCCCTCTTCCCTGCCTCCGAGAAGAGGCTTGTCAGCGCCATCTCCAAGTCTGCTGTGGCCTTGGGGTGGGGTCTTACAGGAGCCTTCAGCCTTCGGAGCCTGAGTTGGTCCTCTGGAGCTGAGCATCCACGCGCCATCGAGCCCAGGTACCGCACCGACTTGGGACGGAATCGCGCAGGAGAGGCTCATTTCAGAAGTCGCAGGCACATAGCTGCATCTCACGGTGACACTAGTCTCTCGACATCGACCCTTCCTTTCGATCCGAATGTTTGCATGGACAATGTCGCAACATCAACCGAATAATAGGGGCTGCAACGTAAGCAGTTACGGTGTGCATGTTCTTTCGGTCAAAACAATGATCAGTCTATCCTCTCTCTGAACATGCTGTCAAGCACCATGCTGATGACTGCCTGGACTCCGACGAGGGAGCTCAGATGCAGGACGCGGCCGAGAGACAGGTGCTGCGATGCTGAACATGACACTTAAAGTTCCTTCCAGCCACTGCAGCCACTCGTGTGAGTCCACAGGGCTCTGCGCCAGCCACAGTGAGAAGTGCACCACTTGGCTGTTTTTGCCGTTGGTCGGCGGGTCTGAGCTGCGGTAGCAGCTGCAGCAGGAAGCCACACACGGTCGTCAAAGCTTACTTGAATTACCTGTGGTAACTACACTGACAGTTCTTTTCCTGTATTAACTGGACTTCCAGCTGCACACACGCGCAGGCTAAGCGAACACCGCAGGTGAAAGGGTGTGTCTATGATCATCTTTTGTGCACAAGTGCCAATGCCACTCCTCTCAGCCTGGGAATCCCGGTCGCTAGCCGCGCCGTGTCGAAGTGAAAAGCCATCCGCAAGAGAAGCACAGGGAAACACCAAGCGTGGCACCGTGTACCTCTACCACGCATGCCCCTGAACCAAATGATGCCAAACGGAAGGCGGCTTGCAAGCGACACTTCCGTCTGAAGCCCATAGAATCTGGGAAACACTCATGATAGTAGATCGCAAAGATGTGCCCAAACCGTAACAGACAAACAGAATGGCGAGCAAGACATCGAACATTGTACGTGGGAAGTGCAACAACGCGAACACCTTGCCCAATTAGCCCATCTTACTGCTCAGCTTCACGCAGCGAACACGGCAATCGCTTCTGAACATGTTGGTTGCTCCCGTGCTTCATCTTGCACTCGAAACTCGTCCAGAAAAGAATATTGTAACCGGAGAAGAAAACTTCCGGCACTGTGGGCTGGGATCTCCGAACGATGCTCGGATCACGAGTTCGTTGAAGATTGTGAGCCGAAACATCTCAAGCCAAACACCCAAATTCGCAGTGTGTGCTGAGTCGGTGTCAGGAGCTGCAGTCGAACGCGGCTTTCGGGTTCTGACCGCTGCTTGACACAGCTCAACGATACGGGTAGAGCGCGGCTACTGCTGAGCTCCACGCTGCACGTTCGGCGATTATCGCCGGGGTTCCTTCACTGCATCACATCACCAAGGTCGAAGTCCGGTGCATCCTGTGTACCACGACTTTTCGCCGTTCCAGAACCCGGTCTCTGTCAAGAAGACAGGCAGTACCCATCCACAACAAAAGGGGAAGCGTAGAAGCCTTGCCCAAGCCCAGGGCGTCTGAACAAACGGAAGCGCCCTGGGCCTAATCTGCTCATCGACAGCTAATCAGCAAAAACACGGATCATGCCACGAATGAGCCACGGTCCTCTTCTTCAAGTCAATACTATGCGGCTTTTCGTGCTTTTGCTCACACGTTTGCTTGTCGCATGGATGTGTTTCGGCTACAGTAGATTCTTCTCGTGCTGAAACGACCGGTGTCTGAGTACCATGGCCACTTAACACCGCTTCTGCCAGCTAGTTCTTCCATCTGATGTTTGCTGAATCTTGCTGAATCTTGAATGCATTCATCGACACGTCAATGCCCCCCTGCACCCTCTGTGCCCAGTTCACATAGGGTTTGGGCATGGGTTCATTGGCATTCCAGTTGCATCGCAAACGTTAGTGCCTTGTGGGGTGAACTTGAGCTTTTTCGCGACAAGCAGACATGATAGTCGGTGTAGTTTTGTCTGTGATGCCGCCCATGCTCCCCCGATATGACTGCCTGCTACTGCTGCTGCAGTTGATGGTTTCGCAGTCTACGAGGTCTGTCGCCATTGCGCTCTAGGTTCATCACCATGCTTATTTGCTCTTTTGTTCCACGTAGGGTTGTCCCCGTTGAGTTCATCAGAGTTGAACAAGAGTTGCTGAAGTTGCAGCTCGATGAGACTCTCAGCATGATCAAGAATCAAGATCATCAACATGCCTAGGCAACGTTTCTTGCAGTGCCAGTAGTTGTTAAGTGACAACGCAACTGGTGCAAGCTGCAGAAAACACCTGTCCATGGCCCGTGGCTCATTCAGCATTTGAGGGATACGGACGCCTGACAGCGATCTAGAACGCATGAACTAAGGCTGCTGTTCCCAAGAATCCCGCAAGCCGCAGGAAACCGGGACATTCCGTCTTCGAGTGCCCCTAACCACTTGCGCTTTGTGATGGCAGCAGAGCAGCCTAACTCCCGAGACTGCTACTCATGTTCCAGGGCTGCCAGGGCTTAAAATGTCAGGGACGTCTTCATGCCGCCGCTTTGCCTCGCTTCTGCGAGCATTCGGCAACATGCAGACCGAGAGAGACACGAAAAACTTGCCAGGCGATTTGTCGCTCAAATGCTGTCGTCTCCAGTCATGATGCGCTTGGGGGCCCGGGTCTAGGATAAGAGCTCCGTTTCTGATTGACTGACAATTCGTAGCTCCCCGGCAAGATCAACTTGAGGGAAACCTCACTACATCGTCCTCATGCACGGGTCGCGATTCCTACTTCGAATCTGGAAGGTGATCCGAGCTCCCAGTCCTTGGTTCAGCTTGAATCTCAGCATGCAACCACCCCTCCACGAATCTTAATCTACGAATCCTAGGACTACAAACCAGGATCAGCCGCACGAGCAACATCAAGAGCAGCAACCCATAAATCACAGAGTCGTATCATGTCTCTCGCTTTTGCTGCTGAATAGACGATGCGTTTAAGTTTACGACCTACCAGTATCTAGTGCTTGGCTGTTTTCGGCTGCTGCTACCATGACTCTAGGATTCTGATACGGACTGCTTACAAGATTTCGTTCTTCATGTGACAATCACTACCGTCAGAGCAATGATGCTTGAACAGTGTAACCCATAACTATGGCGATATAGTGACTGTACTGACCGTGCTATCAGTGCGCAGTACGCACAATGCAAGTACTACTAGCAACCATAGCCAAGAACCGCAATCAAATTGATAAGCACCGGGCCATGCTCGTTAATCGCAACGGCTATGGTTTTGACCGAGGTGAGAGTATGTGAGCCACTTTTGAGTCGAGCCTCTCTCTGAGTTCACGCAAGGTTGTGGAGTTCCACACTCCGGAAAGCAGATCGAGGACCTCCGGAAGCAGTTAATCCTCTTTTATCTCTGTCTGATACACAGCGCACTTCCCATCTTTCACAAGACGAGCGACCATGCGGTGGGAGTCCAACTTGTCTGCTTCTGCAGCCAAGTCATAGGCCGTCCTTCCACGAGACGTTGTCACATCGCGGTCGACACCATACCGCAGGAGCTCGCGGACCATCAAGTAATGACCTGGGTCACAGAGGTTTGAGAATAGCAAACTTGCAAGGGTGAGTCTGATTCAGCCAAGGGTCCCAGCTTTGCTGCATGGTGGATGGGGTAGATGGTCTCCGTGCGGAAGAAGGATGAATGCGTAGACTTTGGCTGATTGGCGTCTTGGAAGCCATGCTTGGCCAAGTACTCCCGAACCATCTGTTTGGATGGACACGGTCGACAAAGCTTGCAGTCGAAACAACCAGCAGCATGCGAGGAAGAAGTCAAACTTGAAAGGCAGGGCTGGGCCGAAAGCTCTACTCTGGCATGCAGGATTCTTTTTCTCATGCTCTGGTCGTGGTGATTCCAAACCCCGAGAAACGCCTTAAAGTTTAAAGAGGATTGCAGAAGGAGAGCAGCAGCGGCATCAAGACAACCCTCGTTTCTCACACAAGAAACCCGGCCCAAAAGCATCGCAGAACGGCTAATAAGTGCCACGCCTGCAGGCGAGCCCGCGATTGCGGAAAGGCTCTGGACACTGAAACGTTTGACCAGCTTCCCCCCCCACCACCCAGACCTTGAGGAAGGCAAGATGAGTGCGGGGCAAACACAACAAGATAGAGAGAAAACGCGAGATGTCGGTAAGCGAAGAGCCACACACGACCCCTCTCGGGGCCTCCCGCCGGTGCTCTCGAAGTCGGAACCGTCGGATCGTACTGGCGCTGCTGATAGGCTGGACCTCAGGGACCTCTTCCTCGGCTTCGTCCTCGGGGAGGAAGTCCTCGGGACACTCTGTCGAGGTGGGTGTCGCGAGGTCGAAGGTGTCCAGCTTCTCCAACTTGCCAAGCGCGGCAGTCAGCTCTTCCTCATCAAATGTAAGGCCTTAGCTCCAGACTAAACATGCCTAAACCGAAAGGGGAGGCCTGAAGGGCCTCTGGGCCTTCCATCATGCCACGGAACCATCCCCATCCAAGCTGACCTCGGGCCGCACGTTTCGGACCTTCGCGAAATCCGAAAAAGGCATGGCTATGCTTCGACACGGGCAACCACCAATGGATCGGATCACTGAAAGCCAGTGCTGCGGGCAGGCACGCATGATCACGCCTAGGTCCTGGGCGCACAATGCACAGCTTCTGCCGAACCGCACTGACCGCGGGGTCGGAGCAGCAGGTCTGGCGTGAAAACTTGTTTCTCCCTCCCTTACCGATGCACACTTCGTCGCATGTGTCGGCAAAGTAGGAGCAGCGTGAGCGCCTCGAGAAGGTCATTCTCTGCTTGGCTTGCTCACCAGAGCCACTCAACTGCCTAAAGCCACACGCTGTGCATGCTGGGCGCCGCAAAGGAGGAGCCCGCAAGGACCGTTGGCCAGTGCGGCGACGAGTTACCGGATACGTTTGGCCCCGGCTGGTGCTCCACCAGCTCGCCATCGCCATCCTGGCAACAGTTGCTCCGACAGCTCCGGAATCCCTCGGCAAAGCCGCTTCTGCCTTAGGCTCTTCGCTCTCCAGCGGAGCACCACGCAGGTAAAGAAAGTCAGCTGGAAGGAACCTTGGATTTGCAGCCATTTGCAGCTTTGCAGGTGCTGCACCAAGGCGTGGAAGCAGCTTGAGTTGCAAGCTCGACCGCTGCTGAAGACAGGACTGAAAACACTGACTCTGGAAATACAAGGCCAGGTGGCTTAAGCGCATCGAGTGGACCCTGCCTTATAGCAACGAAACACGTCCACACGTGTTGGTCCTGCTTCTCTAAAAGCTATCGCACGACGAACGAGCAGTCTGTGATACTGTGATACGCCATGCGTTTCAGAGTCCAACTCCCACACTCCCACAGTTTTGCAGCACGAGAGCCACATGCAACGAACGCTTGCCGCCTGTCGGTGCTTAGAGCGACAACGGGCAGAACGGGAACAACGTACAGAACGTTTTGACTCACAGACCGCGGATGTCACGAAGCGCCCTAGCTGATGCCGCGGCCAAAAGCCGCGAAATGCGTGGCTGGCTGCCTGCAGTCAGCGACCTCACCGTCTCTGCAAATGTAATCGCGTTTGCTAAACACCAGCTTCTTTCAAGACGGCTGAGAAAATCAAGGGCGGCTTCCCATTGGTCCCCACAGGCCGTGATCGCTGCATTCCAGGTGATCAGGTTGCACTGGAAGCCGTGGGTTTCGATCTGCTCTAGCAGCACCGCCGCGAGCGCGGCAGCGCCGGGGCCCTTTCGGGACACCGCTGCGAGGGCCGCCAGGGCCGCATTGTACGTGATCAGGTCTGGCTGCATTCTGCGGCTGCACTGGATGTGTTCCAGCAGCAAGACGGCACGCTGCCATTCTTGAGCCTTCTCACAAGTGCTAATGGCCGTATTGCAGATTACGGTGTTTAGCTGTACGGCTGCCCCTCGCAGCTGTGTCAGCAAGTCCATTGCCGGCTCCCACCGACCCCCTCCCTCACATGAGCTGATGGTGGCACCGTAGCTCAACATGCTTGCTCCCAGGGTATCCTGCAAGCAGAAGGCCTTCTGCCACTCTTCGCCGCGAGAATTAGCATCGATGCCCGCCATGCGCATGACTACATCGTCGGCTGCAGCTTGGCCTACCGCCAGCTGGACCAATGCCTGCTCCCAGTGCGAGCCCCCGCTGCAAGCGCCCACTGCCAAGGTGTAGCTCACAGCATTCGCACGCAGCCCTTTCTGCCAAACTGCTTGCAATAGCCTCAAAGCTAGTTGCCACTGCCTGCCTCGGACGCAGGCCGCCACGGCTGCATTGCAAGTGATGACGTCCTTCTGTAGCCGCCGAGCATTCAATTCCACAAGCAGGTCCAAGCTGCGCTGCCACTCCGCCGCTTTCGCACAGGCACTTATGGCCGCATTGAAGACGATGAGGTTAGCCTTTTCGATTAATTGCAAGGCTCTCTGCCATTGTCCCCCACGCTCCATCGACGTGACGACTGCCCCTTGGCAAACCAGGTTTCCTCGAACTGAGGCAGCACGCATGTTCTGCAAAAGACTGGTCGAGTGCACCCAGGTCTCTCCTCTCAGACATGCCAAACAGTTGGTGTACGTAAATACATCAGGATAGTGTTCGGGAAGGAGCGAGACTCTCTTTCTGAGAAGACTCAGCACAGCCTCCCATGCATCATCCCAGGTGCTACAAGCACGGATCACGGTGTTCAGAGTCTGGGGCTCTGCAACCATGGCCCCCTGAAGAACGCTTTCCAGTGTGCTGACAGCCTGCTGCCACTTCATGCCCAAGCTTTGCACTTGAAGAGCAGTGTTGCAAGAACTTATGCTCTGCTGCAGGCTGTGGTTAACCAGGGCCGAAAGGGCCAGTAATGCAAAACGCCATTGCTGTGCTCGTCCACAACTGTTGCCAGCAGTGTTGCAAGTGATCACACTCCACCCGATGCTCTTCTGAAGTAGCTGCACCGCCAAGGACAGGGCCTGGCGCCAGAGCGCGTCGGAAGCAAAGGCTTTGACCACTGAATTGTAATTGATCACCCGCACGCGGAGCTTCGCAGCCTGAATCTCGGACACTTGCCCAAGAGCCTCCGGCCAGGTGGCCTTTAGTATTTGGATCATGGTCTGAGCGGTATCCGTCTTCGATCTGACCAACAGCGAGGGTGGCCTCCCGACCTGTAAAGCTTGCCGGACCCGTCATGGGGTCAAGTCTCACGTTGTTTCACGTCTTCCCTGACCCGATGACCCGATCGCTCCTACAGCCGCTCTGAGCCGAAGAATTCCGGAGCTCATTCCAAGCATTCCCCAATTCAAGGGTTGAAAAACCCACAAGTGCCCCTCTCTGCCCCTTTTGCTGCAGCGGGGCCCCATCTGCTCCCCCAGCTTCCACGTAACTTCGGCCAGCATGTGCATGCCAGCCTCAGCAAGGCAGAGCTCGTGTTGAGCTGCGCAGGAGACAGCTTCGGACCCCGACGAGCTTGGCCCCGCCATTGGAGTCGCCGTTGGTGACTGCCAAGACCAAGATCCAGCAGCCAGATGAAGATACTCAGACTACCAGTGCGCAACAAGATACTAACTTGTGAACTTCAGACGTCTCTCCCAAAACAGCTTCAACGGGCGTCTCCAGCTCAAATCCCTCCAGTGCCACCTCGGCCTCGGGAGTGAATTATGCTTGCAATACCTCAGCTCCCACGCGGCGATGCCAGGAACAGGGCCGGTCTGTGCATGTCAGCCAGGCGGCCCAGCTCTGTGGCATACTTGTACAGTCGCCGAGTAATGCGATTCGCTACCTGTTCGACGTTGCCACATCATGTCAAACCGGAACCCGACCCATCCCCACAGATCGCAAGGACGAAAGCGACTCTGTGCGCAACCTGAAACCCTTCTGGGTACGACTTGCGCCTTGAGCATGAACGCGTCGTTGCTCGGCAAGTCCACAGCGGGTAGCAGCGACACGTCGCGCTGCACAGAGACAAGGATCCAAATGTCCTCCGGAAGAATGCCAGCACTCTGTGATGTGGCTGCCCTGAATCGGCCTGCCTCACCGGTGGCACTATCAGTCGCAAGGACGAGGCCACGCATTGAGAGGAGGTTGAGAAAGAACTCACCTGTCGCGAAACGAAAAGAACATAACGATTGCAGCATGGCGGAGATCAACCGGCAAATCATTGAATGCATTCCAATTTTGTTCCAGTAGGCTTGTAAGAGTGCAAGATGCACCTCTGGGATATCGAATTCATCATATCAATATGTCGCGTGCACAGGCAGGCAGGGACGGCGGCATGTGTGAGATTGGCCGAAAACTGCAAACGAGTGACGTCTTGTGCCCTCCCGAAACCTCGAGCTAGAGCAACAAGTACCCTTGTTGAAGGCAACAGACAAGACTAGTCAACTGTTTTGGCCCTACCGCTGCCGGGTTGCTATGACCATTCAAGATGAGAAGGGCTCGGAGATGACTAGCTTCGGGTCTAGGGCTAGTCTTTGAAGCATTTACGGAGATCGGGCGTTGATGATCGACGAACGGTTGTCTCACAAGCACCAAACATAGAGGCGCTGGCAGCGTGCTTTCCGATTCTGCTGCGGGCACAGCATGATGTGGTGGGACTGTAACTCAAGTCGTGAACACGTGCAGTTGCAACCCAGGCAAGATACTATCAACGTACTTGCACCGCTGCTTCGTACAACCTATAAACTTCGGAAGCAGATGCTCTTAGTTAACCGTTAACTTTCCACTATCAGAAAAATGAAATCCTACACAAACCGCTACTCATCAAAGCGGTTCAGGCATGACGAGCTTCTTCAATCCGCGACACCCTCCACTTTGGTTTTTTGGATTGGCCTGAAACAAAATCAGCAGTCAAGAATCACGAAGTGGCCTACCTGAGCACGAGGACTTATGATCCATGGAACAACCTCGTGCTGATGCAGAACAATCCCGACATTGGACTAGCAGCGGGTCACGAGATCCTCGACGCAATTCGATTTGCTGCCGGGCTGACCGAGGGACTACTGGTGGCTGAGGATCTGAGTGCGGATGGCTGTTGTCGGGGTGGGGGGTTCTCCTAACCGGAGCGTCCGACTCAGCCTGGCCTTGTATGGCCTTGTGACTCGTGTTCTGCGTTGCGGCTCATGCCCTCATTGCAGTCATCGCTTGTGTCCGGCCGAGATCTTTCATTGGCTTGACACGGCCTCCGCCCGAGACGCCCTAGTTACTAGTGGAACCTGGGCCAACCTCCTGTAAAGACCAGGAGGCCTCCTCAGAGTCGACTTTCGGATGCACTGTCCCGCGCCTGATTTGCGTCGGTTGACGAGGATGGAGGTGAAGGGCCTCGGCTTGCAAATCCGTGAAGCACCACGAGCCACGGACATGAGGTTCCCCTTCTTGGATTGCTGATCAAGTTGGAGGAACAAAATGAACTTTTGTTGTGGCGCCGCTGGCGACGAAAATCTGCTACGCGACCCCAGAGGCGTCGGGATAGCAGAAGGAACCCATGTTTGGGCTCAGATTGTAAATTCAGTACCGGCTCTTTACCCTAGACTGCCAGTCTTGCATTCCGATCGCCTTCCACTCCCGGCGTTCCAGAGAAAGCTCAATGGACACGTATCGGCTTGGGTTTCTGTAATATTTCTGCCCCGACTGATTCCGTTCTGAGGCGGCATGACACCCGGCTTCGCGCTATGATTTTCTGCAGCTGCGTTCTGCTTCCACCGCTTTTCTTTGGCCAAGAAGCGCGCCGGTCTCGCAAGCCAGGCGCAGCGCCGCCCCAGCATCGTTCGGACAGCCAGAGTTGAGGAAACGGCAATTCTCACCTCACGTTCTGACACAGAATGGGTTTAGGCTCGATCTAACATGAGCTTGGATAAGACACCCAGTGGCAATGCAAGCAAAGCAACAAAAGTAAAGACTATGAGTGCTCTGCTCCTCAAGCAATTGCCCGTTTAAATATGGACCGCACAGTGTGCGAAAACTCAAACACAGCAGCGCGATTGCAAGTCAGTTCGGTACACGCAAACAGATGCCATGCCGTGTCACCGACCGACTCCTCCGCTGAATAGCCGGTGAGTCGGTGAAACTCCTCGGAGACCGCCTCAGATGCCAAAGGGAGAGAGGAAGCTCCGAAGTGTGACGAGCCATCTCCGCCCTCCGTCCCGTGGTGCATGTCGACCTTTGAAGCCCAAGCCCCTTCAGACGAGTCTCGATAAGCTCGAAGTCCAGACCAGTAGGATCCGCGATTGCGACCTCGGTCCGGATCCCTCTTGGTCGTGTGCTTTACTTCGCTCAGCCACTGCATCCTTTCGACATTGACATGGATCTGGCATTGCTTCGTAGTTGTTCCGCCTCACACAACAACCGAGACCCTCCGTGCCAGGTCGCACTGAAGTCGCACTCGGCCACCGCTGCACAGATCGCTTTGGATATCAGGTCGTCCTTGTCGTCCTCCTGTTGTAGCCGCAACATCAACGCTGCAATGCTCTATGCACACGTGCCTGTACGGCAAAATGTAGTTCACTCATAAATTCATGAAGTTTACATGCCAGATGAGATGAGGAGTGCACAAAACCAAGGACTTTTGGTGTTTCAGTTTTCAACAGCAGTTCGAGGTTAGCTTCGATGCAATAGGTATGGGGGATAAACGGATAATCTGAGTGGACGCCTGATAAGCCGCAACCCTGCCCGGGAGACCCCAGACCCAACCCATTATGCAGGGCTTCCTCGAGAAGAAGGAATGTATTGTTACGATTTGGAAGCAAGATTGCAGTCGAAGGCCTAGAAATGCGAAACACATTGAAGATCTCGGGCTTCAGCAGTAGAAATGCACATCGGGCACGGCCACTACTGCTACGAGTCCTATGTACGAATCACTCGTCACTAACCTCTACGCAATGTAGGAATAACCAACCATGCCGCTCTCGGCAACGGAATCAGCCTTCCCCCTCTTCCCTGGTCTGCACCCTTCCGCCTTCGTGTCACAAGGCCCTACGTGCTGTGTGCGTGACGACTTGCACAGCGTCTCAGAAAGCCAAATGCAGCTCCATGTAGGCCGAGGACTGAGAAGCACATGACGTGGCAAGTTACAAACCTGTGCACTTTGGTTGCCTGAGCCACATCCCATTCACAACTTTGCGATTCTTCAGGCATGCTTGATCCAGCACGACAACCTCTGGAGTTTGAAAGGGTCTCCATCCTCTGCATGTGAGGCTCCTGCTTCTCCCCCTGCGACTCCTCATTGATGGTCTGGTCGAAGTTCGCCAAGCCCAGGCCCTCAAAGCCGTCAAAGGCCATCTGGAGTCGGTGCAAGGCAACGGCGTGAGTCGGTCCCCGCTTACGTCCCCCATCCCCAGCGGGGCCTGAGGGCGACTCGGAGTTGGGCACGAGGACTGCCTCCCAAACTGGCCTGCTCAGACGGAGATCTAAAGCCGGAGTCCGGTTACAGACCGAGGAGTCCGGGCCTTGTCTCGGGTCCTGGGTCTTCGGCCTCTGGCTGACGACGGGCTCCGTGCATTTCCGCACCCAGAAGTCGCCCTGCCTCGGTTGCTCTTCCGTAGGCTCTTATTGCTTTATGAAAGCCTCGCCTTGTCGCAAAGTCTGTGAACTGCCGCGACATGAGCTCCTGCGAGTGCAAAGCAGCAAAGACTGCCAGCCCTGCACCCTGCTGACTGAAGCGTCGCAGGCGTGGCGCAACAGATCGCGGAGAATTACGAATCCCAGGATGTCTCCAGGGCTGCAGCATCGCTGAACTCAGTGCACTGGCGGCTCAAAGAAGCGGCCGATGAGAACTCGGAGCTCGCGTCCTTGGCTGGAGCGAGTGGACATGAGTGGACAGAATGCCAGGGTATCGCGAACGGATTGCTCCTTCCTCTCTTCCTTGCTCCCCACTTCCTGCTTTCAACATTGGTTTGGTGATGCCATTGTCTAAAATGATCCTTGTTTAGCTGTGTTGAATGTTGAGCCGGGGCCATTCAGAATGCAAATCAGGCCAGACTGCGCACGTTAACCTAATAAAGCAGAGGCTGCAATGGGCTGTGTATACAGGGAAAGAAAATCTTTAATCCACTCTAGGCGGCCCCGTCGGATGGCGCCGGGGGCTCCCGAGGACAGGAGCCTGCAGCCAGGCTGTCCTGGACAGGTCGTGGTCGTGTGTTCTGTAGTCTTTCCGGATGGCACTCCCCACGAAGCGCTTGAAGCGCTTACGATGTGGTTGAAGCGCTAGCTATGCGGCCTAGGCTGGACGGAATGGGAAACAGAGCTGGCGAGGCGGGCTCCAGGTATCCCATCTGCAACCACAACAACCATATCAGCTAATAGGGAAACAGAGCTGGGCTGGCCAGAAGGCATCATCACATCCCATCACATCCAACATCCAACTTGAATGATGTTCGCCACCTTCCACGACAATTGGACCAGCTGTTGCTGGCACGTCCTCATATCACTTGGAAGGGACCTCCAAGGGACTCGGAGATTGCATCGGATTGCCATGGGCGACTTGCCGGACTCCTTTCTGAGACACGTTTTGCGTGTCCTCGGGGATGCAGTCCATCATGGCATGACGCGATTGGCTGCTCAAGGCAGATGGTGCGATGGCCGTTTGCCGCCTCTGTGTAGATGAGGGTTGCAGGATGGCCTGTAAGCTTGTGATAAGTATGACGAGATAGGCAAGGAAGCTTTAGATTCTTAGATGCATGCTGCATGAGGTTAGATTCAGATGCACTGGAAACTAGACCGTAGAATCAGATGTCACTGAGCTTGACGACGACAAGACTGGCTGAAACTACTGCACAACATGTGTCAGGCAATGACCATGTGAACCCGAAGCTGCCAAAAACGAAGAAATTGTCACTCAGACAAGACCTTCACATCATGAGCACACGTGCTATTTATTATCACATCACAAGCTGCTACAAGCTTCTTTCGCCACTCGGGATTGCAGAGGTATGTAGTGCCTGAAGCCTTACCGTGCTCGCTTTACGCTGTACAGGGTGTTCGCTTTGCGAACTCTGCAATACGACAACTGTCCTCTTTCGTCCCTAACGAGGATTCATGTTGCAGACTTCCTCTCAATGCGGCGAAGTTCCCGCGGTCTCCAAGCTGGACAATCGTTGCCTTGGTCAGATTCGCAAAAGAGCTGCGCTCTTCGTCTTTACCCCCCAACAGGCAACACATGCAAAGAAAGGACAACTCCCAAGAGCTTTGGAAGAGCACTCCGAGAGTGCAGCTTTGCAAAGAACCGTCGCACTATGTCGCACTCATGATTCCAAACAGAGGCTTGACAGAAGCAGCACTGATGCTCGAGGCTTGCCAGTGCAATTGTCGTCGTCAACACCGCAAGACATGAGCTGCCTCCTGCGCGGTCTTTCTACCTTCCTCGCAGACCACTTCACCCCACACTCATCGTTGCAAACCTCCAAACCGCTGTGCCAGTCTTCATGGTTCTGCCCTCCTTTCGCGCCCTAGCGTTGCTGCTCGCAGGGTGTTCTGCACGCTGGTATTTCTTTTCAGCAAAGCTTCCCTGAATCAAGGCACACACATTCAAACAAAGAAACCCCTCCTGCACGTGAGATTCTGCCCAGCAGCCCCAGCGGAGCATGCCCAGAGAAACGACAGCTGGCATACCACTTTCCAGAAGTCGCCGTAGCGACTGTGCGTCAGGTGTTGGTCCAACAGCCATCATTGAGCCTGCCAGACAGCACAGCCCCACAGTCGTGAACGGAAGACTTCGGCCGAGGCACCGTTGCCAGTAGATTCCAGAAGGAGGTGGCTCTCGTTTGGAAGCATAGCCACCACCGTCACGGCAGCTTCGAGTGTGCCAGCTTGCGTTGACCAGCACTCTGACCAATCCGACCAGCCGCCTCTGACAGGGAAAAGCGATTGAATGCACAGCTCCTTCAGCCTCAAGACTTACAGTGACTTACAGGTTTCGCTGCGCATGTCACACCTGAGATCATCTCGAGGTTAAGCCGTGCTTCGCCCTCCAGGAAGCCAAGCTGCAGAGCCATCTGCAAAGGGTCTGCAGCTGGGCCATCGGCCCACTCAAAAGCCAAGGGTGCAGTCCAGATCTCCGTCCTTTCTAACCTCTCTCCCTCTGCTTCCGCCAGCGGCTGAAGTCTCAGGACCGCCGCAAAGAGAAGGCGGTTTTCTGGCTTCGCTGCACGCACAGCCGCCATGGCACAGAGCAAGGCTTCCCTGGACAAGGCGGGCCAGCGGTCCTCCTCCGTGGGGACCCAACCTGCGAGCTCACCTGCCTTCTCGCGCCAGCGCAGTAGTTTCAACGTGCTGAACCTCGCCAGGGCCTCCTCAAGCCATTTTTGGCCCAAGCTGGCCAAGGGGAAGCCGAACTGCACAGGCAGGCAGTTCAGGGAGCGCGTCAGCTCCGAGATCCTCGCTGTTCTTTCTGCCACCGGAGAGAGCAGCACGTTCACAGCAGGAGAGACATGCGCAAGCCGTTGGAGATCGCGAGGTGCAGCCACCGCGGCCACTGTCCAGAGAGCATCTCCCAATGCCGGCAGCAGGGCCCCCGAAGCGCCCTGCATTGCTACTGGCTACTAGTGTGTGAAAATCCAACAGCGAAACAAGTCACGCCATGTCATGCTGTGCTGAGCTGTCGAAAGCCATTTGATCTGAAGTCTGTTGTATATCTTGTGCGTTGGTGCTCAAGGAAAGAACCTTTTCGGCGAGGTTCAGCCAGTTAAATGGTCACCATGCAAGGGCTACTTAATATGCCGCATGCATGCAGATATCAAGCAACCGAACGGCCTTTGCTGGGCTTCGATTTTGCGCAGGGCTCAGCGACTATAGCCTGACATGCTTAAAGCTACCGGCATTCATGCCAGGCAGACAGCGGAAGGCAGCCTTTCAAGCTGAGAACCCTCTGAAGAAACGCCGACGAGCAGTGAGAGACATGGTTCGGAATGCCCGGAAAATAGGTTGGCATTCTTGAGGATCCCTTTGGATTCCTTTTTCAGACTTGTCTGTGTAGACTGCTTCCCTTTGCAGCAGCGGTACAGATGGGGTCTAGGCGAAGGCCACCCAAGCCCATCCTCCAAGCGACTTCAGCCTCTGCAAGGCACCCACACCTTCACAAAGGCTCCTGCAGGGCTTGTGACAGGCTCTGACTGCGTCTCTGCTTTGGGCACCAGTGCCTGGACGGAAGTTCCTTGAGCTTGCAATCATCCATCAGGGCCTGGGAAGGGATTTTGCACGAATGCTCCATCAATTGTCACCTAAGTGACCTGGGCACCCTGCGACAAAGGCCTCATCCACCCAGCCACCCACCTCGCGAAGGCAGAGAAGGGCAGCGGTGCACTCTAGACAAGGAAAAAAAACCTCGCGCCTTGCCCTGCGGGTGCTCCCAGGCAGCAGGAGCTGGCTGGAGCAGGGCATCGGCCTCGGTCGCTCGGTCTTTGACACTACTGGTAGCAAAAGACGGTCCTCTCAGTCTTTGGATGTCTTTGATTCAAAAGCCGGCGATGATTGAGTACAGTCACATTCGAGCACATGTGCCACCCTCGCACCCTCTGCGCGAAGCTGCGCCCTTGTTCTTGTCTTGGTTGGGTGAAACGGGCCTTTCGGAGAAGAGCACCTGCCTCTCTCTTTGATTGAAAGGTTAGGCGGCAAATGGATCGACATTGCCACAGCGGAAGTCGGCAGGAGCAAGGCTCATGTAAGAATGCAAAACTGAGGGTCCAAGCCCGGCAGGTTCCTCGCGGAGTCACGGGCCTTAGGAACATGTGTGGCGGCATGGTCGATGCATGTCAAGCCTGCTGCACATCGGCATATTATCTGGAAATTTCTGGAAAAGGACCCGGCGTGCCCCCAACCAACTTGGCGAAGGTTTCCGCTACCCACCCGGCATTGAAGCCTGAGCACATGAACAAACAAGCATGGCAGTCGTCCAACAAGATTTCGACCAAGCAGACAATCTACTAAGCAGTACGTCTGCTTCTCCAAATCAAACCCTGCTGCTATGGAGACTGTGGACGGCCCCGCTCAACTCCTGCAACATGCTCGCTAGATCACAGCAATCCGGATGCAAACCACTGAAGCCCGGTGCACCGCACTCTATGGACTCACCGACGCCAAAAGCAAAAGAAAACGCCCTCCCCAAACCTTACCGAGCTTGAGCTCCCAAGAACTGAAGATATGAAGTATTGAGGCTCTGCACCGCCGCCACGGCGATGCTTCTGTGGATCCACCTCCTGGGCAAGATCCCGCAGCGCCTTCTCCACCTGAGACTCCGGCCAACTCAACAACGAGCTGTGTGGGGACAGCTCCTCTTTGGGGTTCCCATGGTCGCCAGAGCTCAGTTTATATGCTGCCGGATCCCGCCCCGTCGCCTCGTTACAGTTGTAGTTTGCGGAAGATGGGATCGCCACCGCGAGCCCCAACGCCAAACCCCAGCGAGGGACGAGGGAGGAGACGCGTGTCATGGAATGATCTGAGTCAGCCAGTGCGAGTGGGAACGCCTCCATATCGAGCATGGCAACAACTACCCTAAGGACGACATTATTTTTAGCAAATAGCTGCAACTATATCTCTGTAGAACACGCTGCCCAGTGCCCTAGTTTTCTGGCTGCTTAGCAGCCACGCAAAGCATGAGAGGATGGGGGGAGACCAAGAAGCCGAGAGACCGAGAACCCAAGCAAGACAAATGGCACCCCGGGGGAGCAGCCCTGTATCATATCTGGTGGCTTCCAAAGGTGGTAGTGTCGGCCTGAACTCACAGGCGTCCTCAGCCACCGGCTCCAGGAAGTACGCTCCGGACTGCTCTCGAAGCTACACAGCGCATGCCGGCTCTGATGCTGGGGCATATACCCAGCCCAGCGGCGTAACGGCCTGCATGCGACGAACGTTTTTGGACAAAGTGACCCTTAGTGGTGGCCCTTTCCCGTCGAGACCGGACCACCAGTCGCGGAGCTCTAGGTGTCCAACCGCAGACTAAAATGCAGAACGTAACATATAGTCATATGATGTTAGTAGCACGGACCTGCCTTTGCCTGACCGTCCGGCTTGCCACGGCCCTCACGGCCAGCATCGGCAAGGACCTTCGCAATGGCCACCTTGCGGCTTTTATCGAGGGCACCGCTGGTACTGCGAGGATCTTCCACACGGAGTCCATGTTGTTACCCGACTCAATTTCGAGTGCAGACGTTGTGCTAGCTTTCGCACGATGTGGTTTGTTTGGAAATCTGCTTGGGTTTAGGCATCGAAGCGGAACCAAAACCAAGCACCCAGCACATCCTGAGTAGCATCCACAGTGATCCAGCGGTCCGTCCGACAACGCGACCGGAACCGCTCACACACCGCTTGCGGTGTGCCTCCAGTTTGGCCTTGGCAGCTTCGAAGCAGCGCGAGGCCTCGCGAGGGCGAGGCTCAGACTTTGTCTCTTGGAACGAGACTACGACTATTGAGTGACTGGACAAGAAAGCTTCTCCAACAGTACCAGTCGGTGGAAGGCTCACAGGATGGCGCTGGGCTGGAACTGCCATGATACATTATGAACGAGGCGATCAAGAAGTCCCGCAATCCGATGGCAAGTCCGTCGTCTCAGTTTCGTCTGGGTCACAGCACCGCACCACAGAGGAAGAAGAAAACAAGAAAAGCAAACTGTGAGGCTCACAGCACTGCTCCCGACAAGGCGACACATGATCCAAACGCCAAGTACTGTGCAGCTGCTGAGTTTGTCCGCTTGTGCGCTTGGAGCTGTAAATGCACAGCCCCAGTTGCTGGGCAGTGTCTCCCCACTGCTCGTCTCTAAATTCGAAGCATTACACCATCCAGCAGAAAACAACCCCCGAGGCTATCCAGGCTACGGGAGAGCAGCAGCAGCAGGAGCTGGGCATCACAGAAGAGTCAATGTCAGCACAATTTCTATTGTCTTGCCTTGGAATCTATTGGAAGCTGCAGGCTCCACAGGTGACTGATGACGTGAATTCCGACTGAGCTCCGTTTGATGTAGACCGGACAAAGGGTCGTCACACCGCTGCACACACACTGTTAGATTCACAGGCATGTCGACCAAGTTCTTGAGATCGTTGACGACACTCCAGTTCTTTTGGTAGGACACTCGATGATCTCGCAGGAACTCGGCAGGCACAGAAGCGGAGCTGTTCATCACAATCACGCGACAGCTTGATGCCACATGCCTCGGCAATGGCTTTCTTTCCGACCTCTAGCAGGCTCTAGCAGTCAGACAAGGGAGAGGCAGAGAGGAAGAGTTTCCGGAGAAATCTGATGGCCTCGGCCGCCGAAGTCTCCACTTCACCTCATACGCGACTCCGGGAATGCGAATGCCACGTGCAAGCCAGCGATACCCGAACATCCAGTCCCAGCAAGGGAAGCACCGTCGAGCTGAGCCAGAGCGTCGTGGAGGTCCAGACGACGCCCGCCTTGTGGAGTTTCAGTTTGGGTGAGTTCGGATCCTCTGCCTCGAGACTGGCACCCGCAACATCGCACGAGGCTGTGTGGCTGTGTGCATCGAGGGAGAATCTGCGGGGATGAATGTTGGAAATATGGCCTTCAGCAAGTACGACTGGACGGTACCGAGTGTCGCGGCAATTCGCCACAGCACCTTGGCCGCCAGAGAACATTCCCCGAAAACCAAGCTCTCCTTGCTTCACTTGATGTTCCTTGATTACTCCATCCAGCTCCAACCATGGGCGCCGGGCGGTTTGCGAAATGAAGTACATTGTTTCGCAATCCCTGGGGCAAGAAAGCTGCGCTGCCACAGACCGCTGCGGCTTCCAATCAAACTGCTTGATCAACATGGGGTTCGCAATCCATGCTCCCATTGATAACAGGTGGCTACGAGTAAGGATCTACACGAGGTTGAACATGGGAGAGAGGAATAAAGACGCACGAGGTGGCAACCAGACACGATCAGCAAAGAATTAGTGCAAAGCACGTGTTACTTCGCATATGTCTTAGCTCTGCTCACTACCGCAGCTCTCTGCCTTTCCAACCGAGCTGGCAGCTCAAAAGTTTGGACGTCCGTTCACCACCCGGGCACAGGAGAAACGTCTGAGACTTTTTCAAATTCGTTCTGCCTTCCTTCAGAAGAAGCGTGTTTAACAGTTTCTTCTTGCACAAACACAGCTGTTCCTATACTCACCACCATGCAGTCCATTCTGCACACATTTCGGCCTGACGCCGGCCATCACATCGACGACAAACATTCCCAACCATGCTTCCAGATCTTTCTTTACAAATGGCCTATGCAGGCAACGTAAGGCTTTTGCGGTTTCACTTGCACCGGTGTGCAGCCTTTCCGCAGACAAACACTTGTGGCGCGTCGAAACTGAATGGACAGGATGTGGCCGAATGAGAGCTTCATAGAGGGAAGGCCGAATTGGGTTACCATTATAATAGTCCGTGACAGCACTTGCAAGATAGCATAAGTCAGGGTTCGGCCTGAAGATGTGCCGGAGACGCTTTGGGCTGCTTTTCGCTGGCGTGCCTCGGATCCATTCGATGCTGCGTGGTAAAACTGAAATTGTGACGGAAGTCCATCCAACTCTCTGTGAACCTGGCCGTCGAAAGCTGTGCTCCTGCATTGCCTGACCACGCTGCGGACAAAAAGAGCAATGTAACCTGGAAACGCGAAGCACAACCAGCACAGTAGTACTTCTGTTTCGCCAAGCCAAACGGCCTCTCGCAAGCTGCACGACGGCCCTGCCGTCCCGGCACTTCGGTCGGGAAGCTGTCCACCCCGGACGGCCAGAACGGCACCCTAAAACAACCCTGAACCTGGACTTAGGCACGGATCTCGAACAGGGTTGGAGGCTGCAGGGACTCCGGGCTGGCATTCAGTCTGGGCGCAGCTGAGCTTCACGAGTCTGGAAAGAGTAATCAGCATTGTGAGCGATGGGGAGATCTGCTGCAACCAGCATTGCAGATGTGACGCAGATTCCGATCTCCACACCTAGCGGTGAGCAAGTACCGCAACATCTTCCAATGCTTCAAAGATCCTGTTTGCGTGCTCTTCAAGCCGCGGTGAGGAAGACCTGAGGCCGAAGGCGCCTAAGGCGCTCAGAGCCCTTCGGTCATTCCTCAGGCGAGCAAGATGACACGTGACTCTCCCGCACTGATACCGGACGTTTCCACACCTCATGAGACCGCCATAGAAAGCCCATGCAAACTTTTTTTCTGCTTAGGCCCTCTCGTGTCAGTTTGATCCCCCCCACCCTTCAGCTTCCAACCCCCTCTCGGCGAAGCGCGTCAATCCCTCAAAACCGTGGCGCCTGGCCATAGTGCAGGATCGTGAGGTCCAGTTTGTCGTCCGTGGACAACCTGTCGGCTTACAACAGCTCAACTGATTTGACACCGGACAGCGTTTGCCGACCGCAGAATTAAGTTCCTGGCATCTTTGTCATGTCCTGACTGGACACTCTTCGTGTCTCATTGCATGAGAAATTGTTTCAAGACTTCCCAGAATGGAATCATGCCAGCGTTCTTCCCCTCGGGAGGCACAACAACTTCGAAGATCCCCTAAATGCATCCTATGGACAACTCCGGAAGCGGGGTTTGGGGAAACAGCCCCAGGGGCGCCAGGGGTGGCCATCCAACGACAAACCATAAACCACTGCCATTCAATCTTTCAAGCATGCGCCCCTTCGTTTCAATCTCAATTCCCCCTTGCCCCGCGACAGATTTCAAACGTCCGAAAAGGGCGAGCCAACACAAAGGAAGAAAACCCACAAACATCGTCAGCAGTCCTCTGCTCCCGACGTTGCGCCACCAATTGCCAGGATCCGGTCCCCAGGCACTATTCTCGAAGACGGATGGGCATCGTTCCAATTCTTCAAGAGACCATCCGGGAGGATCCTGAGGTATGAGATAAAAGCTCGCAAAGAGTCCGGTGCTCAAGGTTCGAAGGGATTACAACTCGCTGTCTGAATGGCATCAGCCTGTCATGACAGCACAGCCGGTGTCGTCAGCAAAACACAAAAAACTGCTCAGTCCACCCCGGATTGAGACGAAAACAAAGCTGCCTCAGCATGCCTGTGCACACTAGTCTGCATCCTAGCCACTCGTTGATCACGACTCCTCGGGATGATTTCCTCGGTTAGAGAAGTAGAACAAGCTGAAATTCGGATCCTGAACAGGTTCTGCAAGATCTACCTTGCCTTTGTTCGGCACCTGCTGGAATACTGAATCTGCCTGCCCAGTCGCTTGTAATGCAGCTTGACTCCCAAGCCTTATACTTGCGGACACAGAGTCCAAAACTGGCAACGACAGGTTGTCGCGACTGCAATTAGCAGAACATTTGGGAAGATAGCAAGTCATGGTTGAGGAATCTCTACCTTGCACGTGCTCCTGCTAAAATGTGACGGCGACTTGGTGGCACAAGTGCCTGCGGAGTTTGCATGCGAACAGATTCAATCAAGAAGCTGTTGCCTTCCCTCACGAGGGAGATCTCGCGATGCTCGGGCCGTCGGACGGACAACGTAAGCTCTTCGCCTGCTGGGGAATGCAAAGAGAGAGGCGAACAATTCAAATTGGATTTTGTTGCCAGAGATGCATGCAAAAAGACGCGTGTATATACACGCATACGAATGCATCCGTAAAATGTGATGTTGATACATGTGCCTAAGTCTATTTCGGATCAGATAGAGTTGTATAACTATCATATCTGTATTTTTCTATAGGTATACACACATACATACCTACATTAACACATGCATATGCACACACTTAGGCATCCATCGCGCAGCCACTCATCAATTGTTTCTCAAGCACTGCTTGATGTATCATGAAAGCATGAAGGTTCTGGTACCTGTCTGGCCTCAAGGCTCATCCTGTATGCTCTGCTTATTATTGTGCTGTACAAGGCAACTGGGCTCTTCAAACATACAAGCACGCAGGTACGTGGATTGAGCGTCCCCAATCCATTTCACGACAAACTGGAAAGGTCTTCGTTGGGCAGTACCTTCCAGAATGTCCACTGCCCCCCTGCAATGCTGTAACT